GGGAGGTGGTGGGGAGGAGGTGGCCGCGAAGCGGCCACCGACTCACCACCACCTCAGGCGAGCGTAGCGAGCGATTTCCTGGTCGCGCCGCAGGCGCTTCCTATATGAAAGTAGGCGAGTATTCGAGTGCGGGTGGTGGGATGCAGTAGTTGCGGCATGTCTTCAGTTCTGTTTGGGCATGTCCATCTCTTGACCGGATAACACCACCTCCGCAACCCTCCCAGCCCCGAGCGGAGCGAGCATGGGGCTGGAGTTCGTGAGGCCAGAAGAAGCGCCACACGCGAATAGTGGAGGATGAGCGGGTTGGGGATGGGGAGGTTGACAGAGGCGAGTAGCGGATGGTGGGCGGCATGAGCATTATACCACAAGTGAGATGTGGAAGGCGCTGGGACTCTCGGGCGTCGACAGACAGGTTGAGAAAGATAAGCTGCCGTCTACTTCGAAACCATGCGAGATCGGCGGGTTTGCGATTTCCCAAGACTCTGCTTCTTGTTATGCGTGAAGGGAAGTCCTGGCAGTCCTCCATTTGTGCGTGGTTCGACGTCGACCTCGTCAGGTGACAGTGCTACGGATCTCTCAGTCTGATACTCCTCCGAAGTGAGGAGCATCGTGTCCAACCGCGATCGAAAAGTCTTACGTCCGACGTAGACGGCGGTTTCAGAGCGGGACCGCGCAGCCTTTCCGGCCAGACCAATCATATCAGCGCTTTTACTTTTCTCACGCCTTTCGACTTCAAGGCACCGACCATTAAGCACCACGAGATTGGCCGACTATCGTACGGTCAAGTCGTCTCGGCCTCAACAAAAGTTCTCTGCTCATGTCGCAGGCAACTCAACCGTCCTCCGCCGACGCTCGCGGCATTTCCGCTCCGCTCGATTATCCTGCCAAGGAGCTGCCTTGGCGCTACCAACGGCTGCCTTTTCCTGCGAGCACACCGCAACTGCGACTATGATGGCTCGAACAACAATGCTGCATGTCTCTACATGTATTGAGTTCGTTGGGAGTGGCTGTTGGGTACTTTACGGGCTTCTCCTATCGCAAAGGTAACCCTTTGTCTTCCTATTTGCCTGGCCGGAATGAGATTCCGGCCACGGAGGGGTATATCAACACCATGCAAATATCTTCCTCCAGCAATGTCCCAACCCTCGCAGCAGTCCTCTTCTCATCACTCTCACGAAACTTTCGACATGTCGGACTTCCAAGAAGACCCTCCCCTCCCACAACTGTCCGCAATCTTCCCGCATCTTGAGCAGGAGCCCACCACCCTGCCAGATGGTCTCGACCCTTTCACCATTACAACAAAGACCGGCTTCTTGCCTTCACGTGCCCCGCTGGTCGACCTCCCCGCCGAATTCAATGCATTGTCGAGCATCATCAACGACATGCCCGTCACCAAATTGGACGGCACACCAGGCCTCCTGGCCGAATACAAGCTCTGCTCTCTCATCGACAGCGGCGCCCTCCCAGACCTAACCTTGCACGTCCGCTCCCTCTGCAATGCACCCAACCCCAACATGGAACTCATCACCGCCCTCTTCCGAGACTACTCCTTCCTCGCATCCTCCTACCTCCTCGAACCCTGCTGGCAAACCTGGAACAAAGACCCCTCCAACGGCTACGGTCTCGGCCGCGAAATCCTTCCACGCTGCATCGCTGGCCCACTCATGCGCACAGCCGAGCTACTCGACATCCCCGCCTTCATGAGCTACGCGGCCAGCTACGCCCTCTACAACTACCGTCTTGTCGACCCCAAAATCGGCCCCTCAGAGTACTCCAACCTCCGCCTCATCCGCGCCTTCGAATATGGCCTCGACCCAAAATCATCCGAAGCCGGCTTCATCCTAACGCACATCAACATGGTCCAAGAGACCGGCCCACTCGTCTCCGGCGCCGCGAGCCTCCTCAACGCAGTCGAAACATCCAGCCCCACCGCCGCCAAATCCGCCTTCCAAACCATGCTGACAGCCATGGCCAAGATCGAAGCCGCAATGGAGAACATGTGGTCCCACTCCCTACCAAAGGACTACATCAGCTACCGCACCTTCATCTTCGGTATCACCTCACAGTCCATGTTTCCCAACGGGGTGGTTTACGAAGGCGAGAACGACGGCAAGCCGCTGTATTTTCGTGGGGAAAGTGGCGCGAATGATAGCATCATCCCGCTACTGGATTACCTGTGTGAAATTCCTATGCCGAAGAACCCGCTCACAGATATCTTGGTTGATTTCCGCCGCTATCGCCCGAAACCGCATCGGCAGTTTCTCGGGTGGGTCATGTCTAAAGCTGCGGAAGTGCGTGTGCGCGAGTTTTGTATCAAAGATCTGGAGGTCGCGCAGCTGTACCTCAAGCTGCTGGACCATGTGAGGAGTTTTCGGTGGCGGCACTGGCTGTTTGCGCGGGAGTATATAATTAAGAGGACAGCGCATCCAACGGCGACGGGCGGGAGTCCGATTGTGACGTGGTTGCCGAATCAGTTGATGGCGGTGATGAAGCTGCAGGAGGAGGTGTATCATAAAAGTGGGCTGAAGCAGAAGGTGGAAGCTGGAGGCGGCAATGGGTTGGATTTTGTGAAGAAGCTGATGGACAATGTCAAGGACAGCATATCAAGCTGGACAAGGAGGTGAGGAAGTATTGCGAGGAGAGAGGCGTCTGAGGTTTGACAGTGTCATTCCGTAGACCAGCCCTAGATACGCACTATATACTGCCTCCTCACAGATCAACCCAGAATCCCAACCACACCGACAAGCACGCCAGCAACAGACCACCCCAACTTCGCAGCGCCACCCGTATACGTCGCCGCCGGCGGCATCGGCGCGATCATTGTCCCCGTAGCATTCATCATCGGCCCACCATTCATCATCGCCAACGCCGCACAATCTGTGAAATTCTGCCCGCCCAAAAACTTGCCCACGGTCAATGCATCATTACTGTGCAGTTCATGCAACAACCCAGCCACGAGCGTGGCATTCGTGCCGCAGAAACGCGCCGTGAAGTTGAACATACTCGCCATCCCATTGCATACGCTACTCACTACGGTGCCGTCGTACTGGATGTACAAACTAACATTGTACGCCGGTACGGAGAGGTTCGCGGTGTTGTGAACCTCAACGTACGGACCTGGAGCAGGAGGTTTGGAATACTCGAGGATTGTTTCGATGACGTGGGCACCCGCGAGGTCGTATGTGCGTGCTGTGCCGACAGTGTTGTCGGTGCCGTTCAGGGTGACGGTGTTGTCTGGGTTGCCGGACCAGGTTAGGTTCTTGTAGGAGCCGATGATGGACATGGTTTGGTCGTATGTGTAGGGGATGGTTACCAGGGCGGTGTCAGTGCCGGGCTGGTAGCCGTCGATGCAGGTTGCGGGGACTGTGACATCTTGGGCGTTGCAGATGGTGTGGGTGAGAGCTAGGAGGGTTGCTGTTGCTGTTGCGAAGTACATGTTGGCAGATTTTTCGGGCTGTGATATTGGTTGAATTCCAATGCAAGCGGCATGGCCGTTGTCTTATATCTACCGAGCTGACAAGCTATCCTCATGTCCGGGCATCGTCGAGACGTCATCTTCGACGCCAAAGCCTGCTCTTGGAAGTGTGTTGCACGGTGGCTGTCGGTAGCTCGGTACCTGAAGCACTTTCGAAGCTTGCGACTAAGGTATTCCAAGCTTCCGGACGCGGGGTAAGCGAAAGCTTGAGACCGAGCTTGAAAATTTTGGGCCTGGGCCTTTGAAGTCGGGGAAGCTGCCGCGTGAGCTTTCTGGCGAGATTCTTTGCTGCAACTTCGAAACTGTACGCATGTTCTGATCACACCAGTGCGCGAACACATACGTGCAGCAACGCCTCATGAATATTTGATGATTGCCTGACTGTCTGTACTGACGCGACCGCACGAAGAACGTTGCAGATATTCACATGATCCCAGGGAAGTGGCCAATACTAACCTAGCACGTCACGCTCCCTATCCCGTCTTCTCACCCAATGCTCCTTCCCATGCTCGCTCAACTTCCTCCCATCTCGCCACATGCGCGCTCGTCGTCAGGACCTCTCTCACTATCATCTCATGCACGCCCTCGCCTGGATCGAAACACGCATCCTCGATCACTGTAACTGGAAGGCCAAGCTCATTCGCCGTCCTCGCCGTGCTCAGTACTACCGCACTGGTGCTGATCCCGCAACAGATCACGCTCTGGATTCCTTTCTGCTCAAGATCGTGCATCAGCTCTGGTGAGGACAAAGCTGAGAGAAGCCCTAGTTGTCTACGAGTTACGCTCTCTCCGGCAGCATGGGGATCTGGCTTCAGCTCCGCCACAATGTCCGCGGCCTGCGGGTTCTGCTGGATCATTTGCTGGAACATGGGCCAGCGCGCGTTCAGCTTCGCCCAAGAGACCGGAGATTGGCTCATGTCAACCAGGCAGTGGTACACCATGAAGCCGCGCGACTTGGCCCAGGTGCGTGCTGCGGCGGCGTTTTCCAGGATCTGGGCCCGCTGTGCGGCGTCGGAGACGAAGCCAAGCATCAGATTCTGGTAATCGAGCAGTAGCAGGGCTGTTTTTGCCGGCGGTGTTGAGAGAGGCGAGTACGGGAGCGAGGCGTCGAAAATGGCGGCTGCTCTGCCGGCCATGGTGGTAGTGGTGGTAGCAGCAGCTGTGATGGCTTCGTTACTTGTCAGTCGAACCAGATAAGTCAAGCAGAGTCCGCCCGGCAGCACAAGGCTGCTTTGCGGCCATGTTATATCAACAACGTCCGCTTTCGGTCCGCAGACCGGAAATGATTGCCACGTCACATCGCGGAGAGAAGAATAGAAAGGCGCTCTTAAGTCCGTAGTCTAGCAATTTGACTTTGCATGTACTGCGGAACACCATACCAATCTCCTAATGTGATTGATGGGGGCTGCTGCCACTTGCTGTGAATACGATTCGGTTGTAGAGCGGACGGGGTCAGAGATGGTAGCTTTCTGTGGCCGATCACCGCAGCATGATCGCCGTAGTCGGTATCGTGAGGGAATGGTAGGTGTGAATGAACTTCGGGTCAGAGAACTGACATGAGGGTTTAGCAGTCCCTCTATGCAGCAGCACATTCACAATCTCGCTCTAGCATCCTCGAGCCTTTGCTTCACACCATCCCTCACCGTCCGCACAATCTCTCCAGCAGGCATCACCTTCTTGACCAGCCCGACTCCTGTTCCAGCCCAGACAACTTGCCGTTTCTCTTCCGGCGCACCAGCGTACCCTTTCCCTTCACCGTCCTCGGCCGCCTTCGTCCTCTGCCGGATGTCCTCAATTCCAACACCATCCTCAACATGCTCCTTCCAACTCACACTCCTCAAGCCCCGTCCATCATAGTGGCTCGGCCACATGTTCGGTCCCTTCAACTCGTCAAATACCGTGTGCCGCGTCGTCGCATGCGCGCCGTCCTTGGCGTCGAGTACTTGCTGCTTGTAGCCTGGGTGCGGCATCATGACTTCCTCACTCGCTAGGAACCTCGTCCCCATGACTGCGCCGTCCGCGGCTAGAGCCAGAGCTGCAGCCACACCGCGCGCGTCCGCGAGCCCTCCACTCGCCACCACGTACGGAGTCGTGGTAAGGTCTTCGGCGGCCAATGCATCAATGGTCTCCGGCACCAAGCTCACCACACCGGCAGACCGCGCATGTCCATGCCCGCCAGCGTCACTGCCCTGCATCACCAACACATCTGGCTTGACTTCCTTCGCCAACTGTACTGCCGCGCCCACCGAGCAAGTCTGTATCCAGATCTGCGTGTGCTGCAACCCCTCGACCTTGCGGATCTCTTGCGCCCATATTCCAAAGTCCTTGAGTTCCCGCTCCGCGAAAAGCCACACTACACTCACCCTCCACTTCCCCAAGACGTTGAGGAATGCATCGCGCTTCTCCGGCTTCGCGAGCGCGAACAGCAATAGTCCCACACCAATCGGCAGCATGCCGTCTGTGCCAGATTGGACTTTAGGCTCCCGTTCCAGCAGATCACTTGCTTCTTGTAGTTGCCGATCAAGCAAATTCTCGTCCATCAAGGCTCCAATGAGGCCGAGGGCGCCCGCGCGGGAGACGGCGGCGGCGAGGTGCGGGCCGGCATAGCCACCCATGGGTGCGGAGATGAGGAGTGGCGACGCTGTCCAGGGGAGCGTGGTGTGTAGGGGTGCCATGGTGGACGAAGGTTCGCTGGGTTGGAGATTGTGGTGGGAATCCGATCGAGTTGGGAGATGTTAACTGAAGAACAATATGATGTGGAATGGTGCTCTCGGTAGCCTGGATCGATGTTGTCTACCGATTTCGTGACTATGTCAGCGGTAGCGATGTGATACTTACAGGCTGGCACGCCGTGCTGACATCATAAACCTCTTGGTATGCAAGCCGCCAAGTAGTCTCACTTAGAACAGGCCTGACGAAGCGTTGTCGCAAACGAAAGAGCCGCTTTGAGCCAGAGTTCCCAAATGCGGTAGCGGTGCCTGGTTGACGAAAGTGGCATCTAGTTCAGGTCCTGCTTTGAGATGGATGGCGACTCGAGGGTTGGCAGGAGGCCTAGCGATGCAAGATTACGTAAGTTTCATGGGAGGGCACGTGATGTGGTGATATAGACTCCCAGTGCTTCTGACTTGCAGCTGCCAATGCTTTGTTCTGTCGGCTTCGTGCAACTCGAACATGAAGGGACCGGGTCCTTCGTACGGATCATGAAGTCGTCGCCCGTTCCGGCATGCGCAACCTGGCGCGCCGCATCTTTCAGGTGGCTTAGTGGGAAGGCGGATAGGCTGTGTCAACGGTTGTAATCCCTTTCAGAGTCCTCGGACAGGATGAGAAGTCACGTGGAAGCCTCCTGACCCTCCAACGCCGTCTCTTGTTGTTGCCACGGGCTGAAAGCATTCTGCGACCTTCGCTGGCCATTCCGGTTCGTTCGAGCAACCATTGTGGGACATCAGAACTGCATGTGGATTTTACCAAGTCTCCTCTGGGATCCAAGCCCGTTCAGCATGCTGTGCTACTTGGTCCTCCCGGATAAGTGGCGGTTGAGCGTTCGCCACTGTGTCGCAATCCAAGAGGCGACCAGGTTGACGGAACTTGATCTGGGGACTAGAATACCAGAGGCAGGTGCACCAGGTATCTTTCCAGTCCGGCTGTTCTCATCGATTCATTCTCTGCCGTTCCATGAGGTTTCGATCAAGTCACGCCCTTGACCTTCCCTCTCCCGTTACTCCTCGCTGCCAACCACAGACAAGCATATCCCCACCAATTTCGCCCTCCGTTATCACACTCGCTATCCAGCCACAAAAACCTTTCCATGACACCTTTTACCATTTCCCACGCAGCCTTCTCTGCCTTGATCGCAACGTGCTCGACATACGGCGCCAGTTCGTCCATCCAGTCCGAAGAGCCTTTTGTCTGGAGATGTTCAAGCGCCAGCATACCCGTCAGCATCCAGCTCCAGAGGAACACCGATGTGTCGAACAACTCGCTCGCATCAGTCGAGGGCCTTGCAATTGACTGGTCTGCCGCGCGCTGCAGAAGAGGAGAGAGAGCGGTGATTAGTCGATTCGGCATGTCGTTGTTCCTGGCCAGAGGGAATAAGACGAGTTGATTGAGTGCTAGAAGGCTGTATCGCAGAAGATCGAACAGGAGCTCCCTTCCACTGGTATCGCCCTTCTCCAAGCCCGGCAGACTCAGCACGTCATGCATTATCAGTATCCTCGCGAAGTACAGATTCTTCACATCTGGCCTCAAGTTCTGCTGTGTATACCTCCGCTGATACTGATTGTACCTCACAATCACCGTCCGTGTGTGCTCGAGGCATTCATACAGCTTCGCGTAGTTATCCGTGTGTGGTACAATGGGAAGTCCACTCAGGTAAGCCTTCTCCTGCAGCAAAGCGACGGAGTCGGGCTTGATCGACGTCATTCCCATCCACATAGCCGTCGGGATGAACGGCGTCATCTGAGGTTTCGTCAAAGTCCTCCAAGCGAGGCTGCTGTCAACAATGGCAAACACGCCGCCCATGAATGAGAGCTTGACGTTGGCTGCGCCGCCTTTCAGGCGTACGAAGTTGGCAAGCGACGGCCAGTGGGACGTATCGAGATGGATCGCGCTGTAGTAATGCATATCGTTCGCCTTGCCGAAGGCCTTTTTGGCATTGAAGTCGTCGTACGTAAACTTCTCCGCAGCGTCTTTGTCGCCTCCGTGGACGATGAGCGTGCTTATGGCCAGCACGCCTTCCTCGGAGGGGAGGCCGCCGTGCGTGCGAATGTCTTCTTGAAGCAGCTCGAGCGTTTTTGATCGATAAGACAGCCTGATGATCTCCCTGTCGCGAGGCATTGTCTGTGTTCCCGAGGCGAAGGCATGGTGCGTCATGCTAGACATCAGCGTCGAATACCATGCGAGCGGCTCTTCGTTCAAGCTACTCATCAAGTTCGCACGCGCCATCACAAGGTCCGTCTGTTTATCGGACGGGAGCCATGAGTTGACCGCAGCATTGATGGTGTGATCCACCATGTGTTGCACGTACAGCGGCAAGCTGCCGGCTGCAGTTGTTGGCGCATTATGTTGATTAGCATTGAACGGATCAACACGTCCGGCACCGAGCACAGTCAAGAGCGACATGTTCGAGCGCGCGCGCCGAGCCGAAGCCGTCGATATCTCGGTAGAGCTCGCCAGTGGGCGGGTCGCCTGGGCCGCAGATGACGATGGTGACTGGCTCGGTTGTTGATGGCGTGAAACGCGCACCTTGCGCCTCTTGGCAGGCACAACAACATCTCGAACGCGTCGCTGGTGATCTTGAGAACGCGGCGCTCGTTGTCTGATCGCGAAACTGTGTGCGGAAGACGGCGAGCGCGTCGACTCCGAGGTGGAGTCAGACATCGCGGGACTAAAAGTGCTGCCCTCTTCATACCCAGAGTCGTAGAATCTGGTTTCCATCGCGCTTTGTGGCAAGGAAAACCACTACCGCTCTCGCAGGTTCGTGCTCACCGCCAGTCAAGCTGCTTTGAGGCATTTTTGAACAACGCGGGGACGAGAGGAGGTGAGCACATGGGTATGCTGCAACACCTTAGATGATACGATGACTTAGAGTTCGCGGCACGGTCTCCGGGACTTGCTGGGCCGTCAACACTTCGGTGACGAATTATGCAGAACTGGGCGCAATTGACTTCTCGTGGCAAGGTTTATTACGCCGAGAGCACAATTGGTGGCTGCAGCAGTGGCAGCCTCATGAGCGGGATGTTTAGGGTTGATCATTCGTCATTGCAGTGTCGCAGAGACGCGCAGGCCTCGAAGCATCGACGACACACAGGTGCCGCGAACTGAGTAGGAATATGATGTCGTTTACCGTCTATCGACTTGTGAAAGTAGTCGCAAGAATATCTAGTGGTAGCTGGTTCCTCCAGCACCATATCCGCTTCTGCTTGCACCGATCTCTGTGCTATATCTCCTCATGCGCTCACCACCAATGCCAGGTCCAAGGCCAATGGGACTCGGCATGCGCCGCAGGTCGTGCTCATGATTATTGCCATTCCCGGCAGCACTGCTTTCGCGCCGCCGGCCGTCCCGAGAGTAACTGCGTTGATTGTTGCGGTCCATGGGCAGGAGTAGCGGACTGCCTTCGTCAATGAGCTCTTCTTCCGTCCCATCGACAGCCTTTAGGCCGGGAGAGCCCGCCCGCGGCTTTGTGTTGCGCACATGCAGATGCATAGGATCGAGTCGGTCGTTATGCTTGCTGATTTGCGCCCCTGTCGGATTAGGCTCATCGACGAAGTGGGCGCTATCGTCGTAGTCCAGATCATCCTCTTCGTCATCATCTGCGGTGGATGCAAATCCATCCATTTCCTCGAGCCACCACACTGGAACGGCTCCGATGAGAGCAATGAGCGCCAGGATCCACCAGCTAACGATCACGTACCCGGCCTCGACGCTTCGTGTAAAGGCCAAGCCGGACACTGCAGGCCCGGTCGCTCTCCCCAATGCTGAAATTGATGTCGCCACACCATTGAGTGTCCCAAGCACCTTGAGTGATGCCGCACTGTTAGTGAGCAGAATTGTGCTGCAAGGAAATGAGAAGATTGCACCAAAACCCTTAAATGCCATCAAGACCAAATTGACGCCCTCTCTAGCATTGTTGTTGGGGAGGAGAGCCGTGAAGGGCGTCGCAAGGTAGACCAGAGGGAAGATGCTACAGCATAGCTTCAGGCAGTTCAACACCCCGAACTTCTTCGCCAGAACTGGGAAGACGAGAAATTGGATCAGCATACCGTAGATGCCGTAGATCATGAACCACATGCCGATGCGAGGCGATTCGATACCAAACCCACCAGCAAATCGTAGTGGAAGCTTTACATCTGGGTCGTTCCTTGATTGGACAGGGTAATGCATAAAGACTGGCAGCAGTTGATCGTACGCAACCGAATGCATCGCGAGGAATGTGTAAACCAGGAGATTGATGTTGGACTGCCGCGTGAAGACCTGGCCCCAACCGACGCTCCCATCAGTCTGCGGCAAGCTCTTTCTTACCGCAGTTGGGCTCGACATTTGACTGCCAGATCTTGACAAGAAAGGTTCGACCGCATCACCGTCCGCATCGATTTTCCAGGGTTTCTTGTCTCTCTTCCGGCAGCTCTTCGTCAAGAGCTGCCCCAGTACCAGCCCAACGTCTCGCTTATGCTTCTTATCCGCCAATGTCTCCTGGAAAAATAGAAACCCGGCCGTGATGCCCAGGATGAACATGCAGGAAATCAATACGTTTGGTAGCGCGAACGGGTATTGTTTGAACAGTTGACTGTGTCCGAACAGGCCTGGGAATCTCTCTGTCGGATAGACCAGACTCCCACCAATCGCAGGCCCGAAGATGCTGCCCACAGTCCATACCAGAGGCATGATGCTAAACGCTCGCGGTTGCAGCTCTTTCTCCGGGACTAGCTCAGCGACTGCGGTCCGAATGATGCCTACGTTTCCGTTGCTGAGCCCTTGGAACGATCTCGCCACAAATGCCCACTGTAGAGATCTTGAGAACCCAAAGAGCACACCCGCAATCATAGTTGACGTAAGGGCAAACAAGATCATAGGCTTGCGCCCAACTCGGTCAGCGGCGCGGCCCCAAGCAATACCAGTCAAGGCTTGCGAGAGGGAGAAGACGGCGGACATCAAGCCAGCGTATTTGGCGATCTCGTCGGTTGGGACATCGAAGGATTGGACCATTTCAGGCTGAGGGTGTTAGTGGGGCTTCGACAGAGCAGGAAACTGTGCTTGGGGCCTCACAATATACGGATAGACCGAGGTCATCGCGATAGGCTCTGCGAACCGACATAATGCCAGAATTGAGAGTTGCCGCGCTGGCAGCCGTGGGGCATGCTTGGGGTTGCCCATGGAGGTGAAGGTGGGAGGCGAATCTGGCTGTCCATTGAAGTACAGCCAGCAAGAGTAGGGAATCAGGAAATGGCGAAGAGGTTGTTAAGGAGGAAGGTAGGAAAGCAGATGCAGACAGAGGGGAGTCATCACTTTCTGCAAAATGCGACGGCGGCTCCATCGCAACTGCAGCGACCTCGTGAGCGGTCATCGCCCGCGAAAATGTTAGTCGCTGAAGCGTGGAGGTGGAGGTTGCGAAAAGGCGCAGAGAAGTGCCACGACCCAGCCAATGACGGCGTCGATTTTGCACTGCAGTTCTGATTCCCTATGCTGAAAGTTGGGGAGAGCCAAGCTTCCGAAGCCGAGAGCCGGCAACTCCTCGTCGCTGTTTTCCGTACCGATGATGGCGACGACGGGGTGAAGCGACTGCTTCATCACGTCACTGTGTGATTCGCAAGGACATGGTGGTTTCGGCCTTGTCGCACGACTTCTGCAGAGACAGCATGACCGCACATAGATGATGTAAGAATGTATTGGCTTCATCAGGCCTCCCCGAGTATGTTTCTTTATAGGCTTGCTGCAGCCCATAGCGGCCCATAAGCGCTACTGCAAGCGCTTCGATCCAAAGGCGGTGCTAGTCATCCGGTCTTGTCAGTGCTCCGTCATCCGGTGCCGTGATCGCCAAGTCGACCGGTCTTATATAAGGCTCCTCGACAACACCCATTCACTGATATTTGCTTCTGCACTTCTCTGCACAGCAAGTGATGATGCTCAGAGGCGCTTCCTCGCTTTATCGTCACGATCCACTGGAAAGAACCCGCTCAAAGTGCACAGAAAAACCTGGAGTTGCGAAAGGCAGAATACATGTTCATTTCAAACGGTTGTATATAAATGCACACAGCATATCGAGCAACGGGTGCAATGCAATATCAAGGACGCGAAAACGACGCCGGATGACAAGGGCATACGCGTCGACATTAGACGATAGATGGCTGAATTCTTCATTTACGGTCGTCGTATTCATTCAATTGTATCTAATGTTATGCCCACCCAGCGCCGACGCTAAAACAAGTACGCGAACAGCAAAAGAGGATCCGCATGACGGCTACCATCATGGAGGCGGCCTCTTCCTTGTCGGTCTCCTCTTTGGCGGTCTCACCCATCCTGGTATCGGCTCCCACAACTTCGAGGTCGAACTGAACTTATGTCCCTCGAATTCCGTTACAGCCATACTCCCTGCGCCATACTCCTCCTCCAGCAGCCATTCGTACTCGTACGGAATTTTGACGGTAATGCCCTCGAAGATACCTTCTCGTAACGGAAATATGTCTTTCTCCAGGTACGTGTGCTTGTCCTTACACATCAGTGCACCCTCCCTACCCTTCTTCCGCTCCTCGTGGTCCACTCGTACGGTACTGATATCAATGAACAGTCCATTTTCGGTGTCGATCCATCGCGCATCAATCACATTCAGGTAATCCTCCGTACCCCGAATCGTGTAGTGCGGGTTGATCTCCAGCAAGTAGCTTCGGGACACAGGCTCTTCGTCATTCAGCGCGTTGCCGATCGTATACCGATACTCCGTCATATTGTAGTACTTTGCCAAGAAGCCCATGGTCCGCTCAGTCACCTGAACGTCCAAGTCGCTGTCCCACGGCAGGATTTTCTCATTCCACCACCAGCCCAACAGCGTGCCATGCATGATCCATGTCTCTGCTCCCAAGTCCGCCATCGTGCTGAGGAAAGTCCGGATTAATGCAGTGAGGTGGTCGAGGCGGACGTCAGCGCTGACTTCCTTTTGCGCGAAACGCCCATCGTAGTGTGAATGGAATGTCGATTCGTGAAAGTACTTGTCCTTGGGATCGCCGCGCTTGCCGGATCGGTCGCGATCTAGTGATGTGCGAACGTCAAGAAAATCCGCATCGGCGTAGGCGGGCGAAAAGGCGAGCAGCGGTAGGAGGCAGAGGCGGATAAGCAAGGTCGTAAGGTTCATCGCTGTCGTATCCTAGGTATCATTGCGTGTGTGCTTGCGCAGTAATGAACAGGCGTGAGTGCTGCCGTGAGGCTCTCAGGTTGTTTAGTGCGGGCAAGGCTGATGGGTCCGATATTGAGGTTCAGAGCACAAGCTTCAAGTCAATCGTGCTCGAAGTCAAGGGAAGTGAGATAGACCTTCGGCCCTACCTTTGTATCAACCAAGTATGAATCTCATCCCGGTCGCCAGTCAAAAACCTGGTCGAGAAGGTATACCCACCTGCCACCCATCTTTCCAAAGCGGTACATGAGCACGCGACATCGACATCACCACACCGGTGTAACGTATGCAGAGTGGATGAAGGCAACGATTCAACCCCGCCGCGTAATCGCTTTGCGGTTAAGTTTCATGCTGGGCTAAGCATGGATTTTAGGCTTAACGGCTCGTCCGGGAAAAGCGAATCCAATCACCCAGCAGGATTGCGCCGGCTAAGTCGGCTTCTGGTGCCAGGTTGCGTAGGCGCTTGTGGCAAGCAGTTCTTCTGCGGCCTCCCGCACTTGAAATGCCGCTCACGCACTGGTAGGTAGGTTTTCGGATTACCAGGTTTTGCTACCAGTGTCATGGTAGATTTCTTGCTCGTTTGCTGTTATCAAGAACGACCGCTGCGTGATCAGCATCATGTTGTTGGAGGATTCTCACCAACAAAATTCACGATTGCAGCTTTCTCTCGGTCTCCGAGGTCTGCAAAGCGAGAGACATCCAATCTTGCGAGAGTGGGAAGGGGCCTGGCTGGGGCGCTGCCTACGCGTCCTTCTGAAGAACTGATAAGGCGGGGTTCCGCAGGCAGTATTTGACTTTCCTCGATAATGCACGAGGTCCCAATCCTCACCACACGGCAACCAAACTCTCCTGGTTCTGCGACAACGGTGTCACACATTATTGGCGCCGGCGAGGATGCGCGTCTCCCAGTCAATATTTTGACTGCGCCGCTGGTCAGAAGATTACTGCTTGCGTGTACATTCATCAATGGTGCTCTAACGAGGTCTGCCGTAGCAACGAACCGACACGTCACAACCATCCTCCTTTATTGATGTCCGCAATCGCTGCCTGCTGCTGGCTCAGTGCCAGCCGCCCGGTTGACTCCTGTCGAAAAAGACTGGCAGAGTAAGGCTCCGAGACGAACTCCTTCAGACACCGTACACACACAACATCAAGCGCTCGGGTATTGCAGAAATATCACACAGCCACGACTGCTCATGCCGTACTCCTCCCAATGCCCTCCTTGTATCTCGTCAAACACTTCTCCCTTGCATCTTTGTGAACGACCATCGGTTTTGGGTAGCCGGCTTTCTTTGCAATAGCTTCCGCCTTGCGTCCATACGGATCGTGGATTGCGTTTCCCTTCACGTCTTTCAGTTCGGGCACCCACTTTCTGATATAGCTCCCATCAGTGTCGAACTTCTCACTTTGAAGCAGGGGATTGAAGATGCGGAAGTATGGTTGTGGGTCAACACCGCAGCTCGCGCTGAAGCCCCATCCACCATTGTTAGATGCAAAGTCGCCATCGATCAGGTTCTCCATGAACCAGCGTTCGCCCATTCGCCAGTCAATAAGAAGATCCTTGGCCAGGAAAGATGCGACGATCATTCGACACCGATTGTGCATATAGCCCGACTCCTTCGCCTGACGCATTGCAGCATCGACGATTGGGAATCCCGTCCGTCCTTCTGTCCACGCCTTGAATTGTTCGGTGTCATATTCCCACTCGATATTCGAATACTCCGGCTTGAAAGGCTTACTCATGCAGATGTAGGGCCAGTTGCAAAGCACGTGCTTATAAAAGTCCCGCCAGGCTACCTCGCCATACCACATGCTGTGGCCCTGTTTCCTGCTGTCGCTGATCTCTCGCTTCTTGCCAGGCGCAGATTCCAGTGCTTCGCGCACGCATGTACGAGCGGCGATAGTCCCGGCTGCCAGATGCGCAGAGAGTGTCGACGTACCATCGCCGCCCGGTAGGTTACGCGTGTCGTGATACCGCGAGATGCGCTCTTTGATGAACTTCTGGAGTCTGTCCATCGCTTCGTGTTCGCCGGGCGGCCACATCGATTCAAATTTCTGCTTTTCTTCGGCCGTGAGAGATTTGGTTTGGGGAGCAGATGGAATGTCACAGTCGAAAAGCGCTGACAAGCGTTCTCTTGTTCCTGATGGGTTCCCTTCCGGCGCAGGGCATGCGTCAAGCGACTCCGGGTGAGCGTTCAGGTATGCGCACCACTTACGGTGCCAAGGACTGTATACGCTGATTTGCCCGCCAGCACCTGTCTTAAGCTCTCCAGGATCAACGACGCATGTGTCGTGGATGGCATCGAAGGCAATGCCTCTTTCCAAAGCCTGCCGAACCAGACTTGCTTCGCGTCGCAATTCGTCGACTTCGTACTCGACATTGCAGAAGATATGCTTTGCGCCGTACTTGTCCGCCAAATCCAGGAGGCGGGCAGGTACTTCCCTTCTGTTTGGCACCTCTTCCACCCACAATGGAATGTCCAATTCGGCAAGATCGGCTTGCAAAATTTTGAGGCATCGTAGGGTGAAGTCGACTCGGACGGCGGACGTGAGGTGGGCTTCCCAATCTTGTGGACTGCAGTAATAGACGCAAATCAACGGGATGCCCTTGCTCTTTGCCAGCGCTGCCGCTTGACTGAGACCGCGATTATCGAACGTTCTCACGTCCATTTTAAACCAGAAGATCACAGCATCTCCTGCTGATACCTTCTGCCGTTCCGACTTAGTTCCAGACAGCGCTTTGGCAAGCGCATCGATGGGTCGCTCGAGAGAGCCGGTGGCATATTGCTTGGCTCTCTCATTAGTGAGCTCAGGAGGGTAGTATCGGCGCAGTATGATACCATGCTCCTCTTCAAGAGCCGAGTCCTTGTACAGGCTGCGATCAGAGAAGTCAGGTGCTACGCGGGCCCGCTTGATCGGAGAGGAGCCATTCGTTTCCAGTTGCGCCAGCGCTTCGGGGGCGGGACCTGCTTTGCGCTTCGTGCCTGCGATTACAGACGCCATCCTGCGTGCAGATTGCAAGTATGTTGGGCAGAGACGCGAAGCAGTGGATGGTGCGAAGCTGAGCGACACTGTGATCCTCTTCAGCAAGAGCATGCGACCGCGTCGAAATCGCCTGCGAGTCAATGAGGGACGCCTTGTGCGCACTTCAGAATAAGAGCTCGCAATTCTGAAGCTCCAGCATGTCTTTAACGCGTAGGGTAGTCCTCCATGGAATCGCGTACCTGGGGATCGCAGATCGTGGTGACGTCAAGATCGCCCAGAGATCGGGCAAGATCTTGGCCAAGACTAAACCTGCATTAGCGCGGAGCAACCTTTTCCCGACAAACGCGCTTTCCAATCTCTGGCTGTGCTACGTATTCACAATGGCCACCAGCGATACTTGTCAGTCACGACTCACTCGTCGTCATTGCGGCCGCCCGGACAGCGGCGAGGTCGGCGCGGACGCGTTGACCTGGTGGTCTCCTGAGATCGAGGATGTGACACCTCTTAGCGTCTGTCAAACGTTCTGCCGCCGGTCTTAAATGCTCTGTCCTCACTGCGATGAAGAGGAAGAGCAATGGCATTCCTGCGGGCATGGTCCAAAGATGGGACCGAGCGCCTGTCTCGTGTCAGCCTTGCTGTCGGAAGAAGAGGCGTTGTGATCGCAATCGACCGTGCTCCAACTGTGTTCAGCGCGATCTCGAATGCCGCTATGAAGGACAGCCGGCATTGCTAGCTGCAGGGCCATCATCGTCGAAGATCGGTGATGTGTCTAGGCGAGTGCAGCGACTAGAGCGAGCTGTGATTGACAGAGAGGTCACGCATGCTGATGTGTCACAGAAATCGAAGTCTCATGGCGACGCCCGACGAGGCATTCCTAGTACAGCATTCAACAGCCATGGTCAAAGCGACTTCAACAACGACATGGGACGGCAACACGAGCTCCGATCAGCCACGGTTTCCCAGCTTCCGCCGTTAGCGGAAGCAGAAATTCTGTTCGAGCACTTTTCACGTGTCATGCACCCAACTCTTGGAGTGCTACACCTGCCTTCAATCCGTACACTTCTTCGAGACGCCTACGCAGCCGCTGCAGTTGGCGGCGACTTGGATGTCTCTTGCCTGCTACTCCTTCTATCAGTCTTTGCTGGAGCAGCGATGGTCTGGACGCCTGAGCTGGGCGTGTCACTTGCGGCAAGCGAGGCACAAGCAATCGCCGCCTACAAGCAGTACGTTCGGCAGGCGTTGGCTATGCTAGATCACGCTCGTCAGCCACTCAAGCCGTCCACAATGTCACTGGCCGCGATTGCGACGTTATCACACGTCGTTGCCAACCATGATGTACTAACCTCGCAGTCCAACGTTATGCTCCTTCGAAGCCGCTGCGTCATGCTTGCGCGCCAGCTTGGAGTTGATTCGCTAGACACGCATGTCAAACGCGCGGCACGACAAATTCAGAGACCCAACATGATTGAGATCGAAGTGCAGAGAAGGGTATGGTGGTTCATTGTCTCATCTGATTGGCTGGCCGGTTTCTCTGGAGGTTCTCAAGACGGCACATACACCTTTCTCCCACGATTTATGCATGTCGACCTTCCTTCTGACATCGACGATGAATGTCTGACCCCAGATGGCTTCTCAAAGGAACCTTCTCCGAAGCGACCGACGGGCATGTCGTCATTCATACAACGGACTAAGCTGTCATTCATACAACGGATCAAGCTTGCTGGCCTCTGCCGTGATATCGTTGATGTGCTACCATCTGTACCCTGGGCTGCTGACGGAATAGACTACGGAACAATACTTGCGGTCGATCAAAGGATGGAGAAGTTCCTATCCAATCTCCCACCATTCTTTAAGCTCGACGCAGACTTCGACCGAGCTCAAGCAGCCAGTCACGATGAAACGCCGTGGATTGCTGTGCAGGCGCTCGGAATCAATTTCAGCTTGCAAGTCCGCAGATGTCGGCTTCATCGCCCGTATCACCTTCTGAGCACGAAGGAACCAACGTATGAATACTCTCGAACCATGTACATTCGATCGGCGCGCAATGCGCTTGGTTTGGCGCATGCGATGGACGAGCTCGCGACCAATTCTGGTCTCAAAGCTTCTCCGTACTGGATTGTCAGGCAAAACGTCTTCACAGCCGGACTGACGCTCGCGACCAACGTGTCACATAATCTCGACTTGCCCAATGTCGATGTACAGGGACAGAGCAGACATGCCGCGTACAAAGCGCCCGACCTTGCCGACTCAGACGCTCTGTGGTCGGAATTCCTCAGCGTAGCACCTGATTTTGACGACGCCCAGTGGCTGTCGCTTGTCACATTCCCAGAGATGGCTGAGGCTTGAGATGCTACTGCAGCAGCGAGCCTCGGGAAAAGTATTAATACTATCCTACAACACTGCCGCGAGGCCTCCTGGTCGCCAGTTTCTGGAGTTTCTCAATCAATGCTGCCAATCATCTGATCAGCCAAGGAGACTTCCAAAAGCGGAAATTGACTCCGCGGAGACAGGTACGCCTTTCCTCAGTGCGCTTTTACTGCAATGCACCTGCAAAAGAAGTTCGGGATCAGTCGACAGCATTGGTGTTGCCGCGTTACAAAGTCCCAGAGCCTGCCAGTCATCAATGGCGAGGGCAGAGCCTCCGAGGACCGCCATCATCATTGGAGGCGGCCCGTGTGGGCTCCTCACAGCCCTTGCGTTGACCCAACGCTCGCACATGACATGCACCGTCTTTGAGCTTTGCTCTTCCCACACCACGTTTGGTGGCGCCATCGGCATCCCTCCTTCCGGCTTGCAGCTATTCGGCAGTCTGGGCGTCCTCGAGGGCTTGTTAGCTCGCGGTAATGCTTCTTCGAAGTTAGTGTGGCACTCGCTTTGCTGTGCCGACGCTCTGGGCCCGTTCGACATGGCAGCTCGGTCCAAGGAGACGACCGGCTATGGTTGTCTACGTATCAAGCGCACTGACATGCTCGAAGTGCTCCTTGAGGCAGTTGCTGCAGCAGGTATAGTCGTTCACTTTGGGCAACGTCTCCCCGCGATTTACGAGACGCATGCTGGAGTAGTTGTATCATTTGATGAAGGTGTCATTGCCGAGGCCACCGCCGACATCCTTCTAGGCTGCGATGGGATCCACGCGGCCGTACGCGTGCTCTATGTCAACCCTGACCGTCGACCAATGTATACCGGTTCCGCAGGCCTGATGGGTCTGGCATCAGCTGCACTGTTGACGTCCGAATCAGCCGACACTCTTCGCGATGGAATACATGCCACGATGACGTGTGAGGGCACGTTCATGACAGTTCCTTGCAGGACTGGAAGCGATGAGTTCTACTGGGCATTCCAACGGAAAGTGCCATCGCCGAACCAAACAGAGTGGCTGAACGGCTGGGACATTCGAAGCTGCGAAGAAATCGAAGAACTGAAGGATGTTTTGTACGGAATTCTAACATGCGAAGAGACTCATGGTGGGAAGTGGGCAGCCATCTTGTGCGACCTAATCGACGCCACCAGAGAGATGCGCTTCTATCCTGTTTATCAGCTGCCATCCGCACCTGGAAACCGGTGGTATCGAGGTCGTATATTGCTCCTGGGCGATGCGGCGCATGCGATGCCACCACATGCTGGGCAAGGCATCTGTATGGTATTGGAAGATGCGACACTGCTGGCGAACTTATTATCTGTGGCACTTACGCCCAGTGACACGATGCCCGAGGGCGACGGAGCTGAAGAAATCATTGGAGACCTATTCAGGCGCTACGAGCAAGGACGTCGATCCCGTGTGGAAGATGTGGCGCGGTGGGCCATTGTGGTGATTGCTAGCCGCTGAACAATGGTGCCTGCGGAGCAAAGTACCCGATCACGCGTCGCCTGGCATGGCCGCGGTGAGCTACCTGCAAGGCAACGCCATGATGCAATCGAGCCGCGTCGAAGCTAGTGCTGAGTCTCATCTAAGCCGAAGCCAAGCTCGCACGGAATCCCGTCGAAAGCGAAGCCAATTTCGCGATAAGCCACGTCGAAAGAAGATCAGAATTACAGGCGAGAGCACCCTCACCTGGCACGTGCCAACTGGGTTGATGAAAAGAGTGTGATTTTTCAGCACTTTGCTGAACTCGCGGACCCAGTCCATGCCGGACAAGTGCCCATGCTGTTGCTCATATCGCTGCCTATAGCATAGGTGGGGTATCTTAAATACACAAACAAAGTCCACTAAAGCTAGCGAACCAAGGCAAAACACTCACGAAGCTCTTTCACGAAGAGCTGAGGTACTGTCCATGGCGCGAAATGCCCGCCTTTCTTCAGCTCGTGCCAATGCACAATGTTGCTGTAGTAGCGCTCAGCCCAGTGCTTTGGCACATAGCCGTTCTCGCCCTGGAACTGGCTGACTCCCACGGGCAACCGAATCGGCAGATCACACGCGTCCGGATTCTCCCAATACAGCCTCGTCGATGAGGTGAGAGTATTGGTCCACCAGTAGACCATGACGTTATCGAGTATTTCGTCCTTGGTCAGCATAGTGAGCACATCCTTATGCTTCCCAGGCTCGTCTTGAGACCACGCTGATATTTTCTCGAAGATCCAGGCCAGAAGTCCAGAAGGCGAGTCCGAAAGAGCGTAACCTAAGGTCTGGGGCCGAGTGGCATACTGCAGCATGTAGGCCGATTCCGCCCGATCCCACTTCTCAAGCAATGCCAGAGCATGCTGCTCGCCTTCGGTCAGACGTCCCTTCGCTTGGCTGGTCTCCTTCTTTGCATCGAAGAAAAGCGTGTTGAAGTGGACGGCGACGAGGGCTGGCGGCGGAGAATTGCTCGCAAGCTCCGCGACGATGTCGGCACCCCAGTCGCCTCCTTGAGCGACATATCGCGTATAGCCTAGGCGACCCATCAACTCGGCCCAGGCTACGGCCATCTTTGCACTGGTCCAACCACTCTTCTTGGGCTTGCCAGAGAATCCGTAGCCTGGCATCGAAGGTATAATCAGATGAAATGCATCTTCCGCCTTACCACCATGTCGGGTGGGATCTATCAATGGATCGATCAGCTTTAAGAAAGTGACGATGCTTTGTTCTTCGTTAGCTTGGATCGGGACACGAGTGGTATGTGAAGGAATCGTTTGGAGGAGAACATGGGACGGGACTACGAGACAAAGGCAGCAGGGTGGGCTCTGAGAACTCCTGCCTCTGCTTTGGTGCCGGTTCAGTTTGGGATGAACACTTACGACTCTGGCCAACCGTTGGTCATTATCATGGGGAGGGCATCGTGGTGTTTCGATCTAATGTGCCAGAAGTGGATGTCGACTCCGTCGATTTCGGTCTTGAAGTGAGGGTAGCTATTCAGAACATCCTCGCATCGTCGCCAGTCGTAGTCATGGCGCCAGTATGCACACAAGTCCTGAACGACGGACAAAGGTACTCCCTGGGACCAGTCCGAGACCGTAGCTTCCTCCGGCCATCTGGCATGGTCAAGGCGTTGGTGAAGGTCATGTATCTCGGAATCAGAGACCGAGATCTTGAAAGGACGTATTGATGCTCTTTTGTTGAGCATGGCGACGATTCGTATTCGATTGCACGTGGCTTGACCGAATGTTGCAGACGCCAAGTAGCCGAGATAAAGACGGGTTGCTTGTTTTTCTGTGGTATGGTGCTCTTTCGTCCAATGGAGCTACCATCCCACGTGGCGCCGGCATCGCATGAGATGACGACAATATTCCGCATGCCGCGTTAGCCGGTGCTCAGAACCTTCTCGGCTTCACGTGACTTTGAGCAGAGATTCGATAGTTCTATGCAGGCACAGATGGAGCACCCAACAAATGACGCTGATAAGACCGCCGATAGCGTCAAGCCTCGAAGCTTGGCACAAATCGGCTGGTACGCGAAACAGGAGGCGAAAAACCTTACCTAGTTCGAAAGACCTTGAGCCGCAGCTTTCTTCGCGATTGAGAACATCAACGCTTCACCACAACGCTTGAAAGGCCGCCGACTGACAGCTGTCGCGCGGGGGCTGTAGCAGCGCAGTCTCAGCTGTAATGACACTTTAGTGTCAGATCGATACGAGTGCATCGCAATGTGGTCACGGCTTCAAGGCCTCCGTTTCAGCCTGCTTTACACCACACTGCGTTGTGGGAACGGTAAGACGACATACCTCCCCAATCAATCTCACTGTGACCCATTCTCCGCTGCTCAAGCACCGCGGATCAGCCCTGCGCCCTAAATCGAGCACTAGTGGTTGCAGGTCATGCAGCCCGACGATTTTCCGATCGTCGACCGAGCGTCGAAATTTCGACGAGACCAGTGAGGAACTCGCATCAATGCTTGGAAATCCGTCGATCCCCTCATGCCCAGGCGGAATTGCTTTGACGAGATCTGTGCGCGAGTGGAATCGATCCACATCTTGTCGACGTTCAAGGCGGATGCAATACCGTCAGCTATGTTGTCTGGTGGTTGTGCTGCACGATCTCCATCCCTAGCCCGACGTCGGATCTGGCTCGGTGGCATTGTGTTATGCTCACGAGTCGCGATCCGATGATCCTCGTCGGCGGTAGCTCTCTTGCGACGTATGTGGGTCTAGCGCACGAGGCAATAGCTTCGATGCAGGAGTTCCACTGTGCCTCACGACCCTACTTCATCCACAAGAAACCCCCTTGAGTCCGGCCACATGCGCCGCAGTCAGCGAACCACACAGACCTAACATGTCACGACGTTGACATGCTGGCTATCAAGATGTATCGACGACTAGCATCGCTTGTGCTGTTGGTAGCCTCAATGCTGCCTGCCGGAGCACTAAGTCAAAGCGAAAAGCCCAGCATGGGAGATATGCTAATGGTGCTACCACAATGTGCGGTGCGTGATGTATGGCCCGTTAGCGACGACCCCCAGGCTGATTCATTTTTCAGGTCAACTGCCTCGTCGGAGCGTACAGCGAAGGGATCTGTCTGCTGAGCGATCCAACGTGCTCTTGCACGAACGTCGAGTTTCAACAAATTGTGACCTCATGCGTGAGCGGCAATTGCACCACTACCGAGGCGTTGTTCACAAAGAATATAACTTCTGTGGGGTGTGATGCTCCAATCCGCGACCGCGTCAACAAACATACTGTTATCGTCAGTGTGCTGGTCGGAATCTGTACCGTGGCCGTCTCTGTGCGTCTCGGGTATCGTCTTCTTGTCGCGAAAAGCAGCCTAGGGCTTGATGACTGGTGCATCACTGCTGCCTTCTTGTGCTCGATAGCTTCGCATATCGTTACTGAAACAGGCACCGTTCCGAATGGACTCGGCAAGGATATCTGGAAACTGTCATCGAGGCAGATCACAGATTTTCTGTATTACTTCTGGATCATGGCCTGGATATACTTCCTGGAGATTGTTATCACAAAGCTGTCAATCCAGTTCTTCTTTCTTCGCATCTTCCCTTCGCAACTGGCGCAGAGGCTGCTTTGGGCGACCATCGCTTTCACAACGCTATGGGGTGCCGCTTTCTTTGCCGGATGTCTCGGTCAATGCACGCCCGTGAGCTATAACTGGACGAAGTGGGCCGGCTTGCATGAAGGGAAATGCATCAACATTACCGCTTTTACCTGGACGCATGCTGTGACAAGCATTGCAATCGATATCTGGATGCTTGCGCTTCCCATCTGGCAGATTAAGGACTTGCAGATGTGCCTGAAGAAGAAAATCGGAGTCGGCTTGATGTTCTTTGTTGGCACATTGTAAGTAGCTGTTAACATCCCTGAACATCAACTGACACTCCCTTCATAGTGTGACCGTCATTTCGATCGTGCGTTTGCACAGTCTCATCATCTTTTCGAGCAGCAGCAACATCACATACGACTACTTCGACGTCAGCATCTGGTCTTCGATTGAAGTCACCATCGGTATCATCTGTGCCTGCATGCCAACCATTCGACAGGCGCTCGGCAAGCTCTTCCCAGCCATCATGCGAGGATCAAGCGCGCAGAAGACATATGGCCGGAGCAAGGCCACCAAGTCGGGTTATGTGTTCTCTGGGTCCAACTCTCGCTCAACACCTGGCGCACAGAGAGGCGGCCTCCACTCAGACCGCGATGGAGACTATGGCTTGCATCCCAGCTACAGATTGGAAGGGCCCACGGCTGGATCCGCTCATGCTGTTGTGGAAACATGGCATGGAGGTCGGCAAAGCGACAACGGAGGCAAAAGCGGAGTCGTGCGGCACGAGCGCGAACTCAGCGGGATCGTTGTGGTGCAAGAGAGGAGTGTGCACAACGTGAGCCAATACGAGCTGGATGACATCGTGGACGGCGACGTTGAGAGCAGAAACAGCGATAGAGGGGACGAGGCGACGCTCGTCGAGATGAAGAGTCCGCTGGAGAGGCCGCAGAGGTGATCGCATGCGATGCTAGTGGCATTCAGCAGTGTAGGGACGGATTGCTTTGAGGGCATCACGGGACCTCTGCAAGTGAACATTGTACCAACAGAGTCTGCCTAAGTGTTGTACGGTCGGCATCGGCTGACCGTGTGTTCGTGCTCGAACCATGCTGCTAGAGCCGAAATAACACTTTACGTCGCCATGAAGCGGGTAGCGGTAAGCGACCACGGCATCTTCACTTGCCTCAGACGAGCTTGTCATGGCCGTGGAGCGCCGAGAGCTACTCCGCATCACAAGCACTGAAAAGCTTTTCCGTGGCTTGCCCGCCGCGGGTGAGACTCCTTATAATTTTGTACCCGTGTCAGCAAGCCTGTAGCCGACGTCAATAAGCTTTGCCAGGCATTGCTAAGCAACGGCACCCGTCTTATCTGAAGCACACGGGTCTGGGCGCTGTGCAGCCGTCATTGCGTACTTTCGAGTTCGCAGACCCGGGGAAGCACCCCGCAGAGACTCGAGCCGCCAAAGATCGAGAACCTGGGGCTATAAGACATTCATGTCGCCATGATATTTCCTCATTTTTCAAACTACAACTCTAACGACCTCGACTGAACCCGACCACAGAACTTCAATCATTAACAACCATCATCATGCGCGCCTCACGCTATGCAGAAGATCGCTTTAGCGTGCCAACTCCCAAAGAGGTCTACAACTACCGAGTTTACATTCTCGCCTGTGTCGCTTCGTTCGGCGCCGTCATCTTCGGCTATGATCTTGCTTCATTGGAACGACACTTGCCTTGCCATCGTTCAAGAAGTCCTTCCATTTATCCGGCAACGAAGATGCCTTCTCAGCAAACATCGTGTCCCTGCTACAAGCCGGATGCTTTTTCGGCTCTCTCATCGCGGGTCAAGTTGGCGACAAAATCGGCAGAAAGCGGGCTTTGATCTGTGCTGGAGCGGTGTTCCTTGCTGGCTCGATCATGCAAACTGTTTCGTTCGGCAATGTGCCGGTCATGTTTACAGGCCGTGCAGTCGGCGGCCTAGGCGTCGGCGCTGCGAGCATGCTGGTCCCGCTATACATTAGTGAGGTTGCCCCGCCGCAAATTCGAGGACGACTGGTCGGCATCTACGAGATTGGTGTCCAGGCCGGTACCTGTATTGGATTCTGGATCAACTACGGCGTACAGGTCAACATGAAGCCAAGCGTTGCTCAATGGATGACACCGTTTGCGATCCAGCTGATTCCCGGCGGCTGCCTGATCATTGGCATGTTCTTTCTCCCAGACTCACCTAGGTGGTATGCTCGATTCAAGGGTCGCATGGTCGCTACTCCTGTGCTGGCCAAGCTGAGGAATCTTCCCGAGGACCACGAGTACATCAACGAAGAGATGACAAACATCATCAACCAGATCGAACACGAACGCCACAGCACTTCTGGACAGAAGGGCCTCATCGCAGAGTTTAAGGAACTCTCTCGCCCTGGCAACAGGAACAGAATCGCTATCGGAGTGACCATCTTCATCTTCATGCAAATGGCAGGGTCCAACGCCATCAACTTCTACTCCCCACGCATCTTCAAGTCACTGGGTGTGACAGGCACCAACACAGGACTCTACGCTACTGGCATCTACGGCATCGTCCGCTTCATTGCTGTCTGCATTGCCATGCTCTTCGTTGTCGACAAGTTTGGCCGCACCAAGATGCTCATCGGCGGCTCGGCACTCATGAGCGCCTGCATGTGGTACATTGGCGGGTACGGTCTCGTCGCCAAGCCCGAGGCGGCAAAGGGACATATCTCAGGCGGAGGCTATGCTGCCATTACGCTCATCTACGTCTACGCGATCGGTTTCTGCTTCTCATGGGCTGGCGTGCCCTGGATCTACTGCTCGGAGATCTTCCCACTACGCATCCGCAGCATCTCAGTGGCCATTTGCACTGCTACCCACTGGCTCATGAACTTTGTCATCGCCAGGAGCGTGCCATACATGATCACAAACATCGGAGGCGGGACCTATTTCGTGTTTGCCAGCTTCCTGGTCGCGGCGATACTGTTTGTGTACTTCTTTGTACCCGAGACGAAGGGTCTTAGTCTCGAGGCGATGGACTCATTATTCAGTCCCGGCCTCGTGAACCAAATCAACGCTGCAGATGAGGAGAAGGCCGTGGCTGAGACGGTTGAGCAGGCGGAAAAGCGATGATAGGTAGATTTGAGATTTAGATCAGCAGAACATTTGCCGTTACCATTTCATTTACATACCAGGTTCAGTTGATGCTGCATTCCGATTATTGGTCCATGAATCAATTCCTTTCGCCGAGTTATGGCCTAGAACGTGCTGAATCCAACGCGATTCGCTGGGTGTTGCGATGATTACACCGTCGGATCATGTTCCCAAACCACGTACAAAGACTCATTTCTGGTTGCACGGGCCACTTTCTGCGCGTTCAGGTGAGGCGTTGGCTCGGACGGCAAGGAACCATACACTGATAGCATTGCATTCGAGAAATCTAAGCCGCAAATGATCGGCGAAGATCAAGCGGAGTCGATGCTGGAAGCAAGAAACTCCAAGCTCGAAGGAGACGCGCGGGGAAGGCCAGTGATCCACACGTCACGATGGAAATGGACTCGCGAATGGGGTGAACAGTTCCAGGGAGAGATTTTCAACTCGTTGGTCATTGCCTTTGTCTAGAACATCAAAATCTGAACACGGCGAGGAATGTCTCGAAGACCTCGCGAAATGCACCGAAATGTCGCGAACCATGACTCCATGACTTGTGCCATCCTTGCTCTGACTTAGTTCACATACCGCCAGCCTCTCTCGCGTCCACAATCGGGAGTCCATCCCTCGGCTTCATCCAATTTCTTGTTCAGCTTCTTGCTTCGCCAGATTATGCCAACCGAGACCGCAGTGGTCAGAGCACAACCGACCAGGATCAAGCTGCCTCCAAGACGGTAGTATGGCTCTTGCGACGTTGGGAAGAAGTATGGTGAGAACCAATGAGATGTCTGCGATACGCAGTTGGCGATGGCGATCAGAGCCGCTTTCTTGCTTCGGGGAGCAGGGACGAGTGTAGTCTCCCAACTCAGCTGCAAGTTCAGGCCGTTGTAAGTGCCAGAGATGAGGAGGATGGCACCAAAGTAGCGAGCGCCAACGTTTGAGACCGAGATCAGCAGAGCTGTGCCCAGCATGGATGCCCAGATTGGAATGTTGATGTGCCAGAAGCTTTCTTGCCGACGTCCTGATGACCACGCCACGGCGCAAGCCGTCGCGTAAGCAATAGCGTAGGGAGGTGCTTGAACGAGATATGTGGTCATCTTGTCGAAGCCGAAGGTCTTCATGATCTGAGACATGTCAGTGAAGCTAGGTAGTTGAGATAGATTCAACTTACCGATGGGAAGAAGTCTTTGAAGGACTGTGCAGTGACCAGAGCGAAGTGCATTCCGCAGAAATACCACGTGTATGGGTCTCTCACGGCTTCTCGCACACCGTCCCACGTACCGCCAACCTGTTCTTCGACGCCACCATTGCTGACAAGGACTCGGTACTGGGCCATGTCGCGTTGTTGTTGGGTAAGAAACTTTGTGGTGGATGGCCATGACGGAAGCACGAAGAACGCGGCGATTGCGACAACCACTGAGGCGATGCCCTCAAGGAGGAAGAACCATTGCCATGAGTGTAGGCCTCCGATACCGCCCATATGTTCCAAGATGCCTGCAGCCAGGAAGCCAGAGAGGATGTTGCTCATAGTGTTACCGGCGTGCCAGATAGCCATGCGTGTCGGGTTCTCTTCCTTGTTGTACCATGAAGAGGTGATCAAGGTGATGCCTGGGAAGAATGGAGCTTCGGTCAAGCCAATGAAGAAGCGGACCATGCAGAAGCCGACGCCGTTGGTCATAGCAGGCATGCAAATTGTTCCGATACTCCAGGCAAGCATGACACCGGGCAAGAAGTACTTCGGATCAGATCGAGCCAACAACAGGTTTCCGGGAAGCTGGCCAATGAGATATCCAACATAGAAGGTAGAGATGCCGGCGTTCCAGACCGTGTCAGACATGTGAAGATCTTCTTGAAGACCTGCGAGACGTGCGTTTGAGACGTTGATTCTGTCAAGATAGTTCATCTGTACCTTGTTAGTGTTGTCGCGCGAAGGATTGCGGGGAACGTACCAAGAACATGAGTGTCATCATCGGCATCAGCTCCAGTCGATTATTCTGCGCACCTTCTTGTTGAGTGCCTCCATTTCACCCTGGCTGAGACGCGAAGGGTCTCGAAGCGGTGCTGGATCTGCTCCGGAGTATAGTTGACGGCATTTTCGACTTCAGTCTCTGTGCCGACGGCGCGCTGCTTTTCTTCGATGTCTGCCATGGTCGCGATGTGCTCAGGTCGACGCAGTGGAAGTCCTCGGAGGGCTCAAGTTGTGAGCAAGATACTTGGTTGTTGCGTGATGAGATATCTGCTTCTAGGGGGAGAGAGTCGAGATCTTTATACATGATTCTGAGCCTGAAGATTCAGCCGGTCTAGAGCTCTCCAGACGGAGAGCACGGGGACAGTGCGGGTGGGAGCAACAGCAGCAAAACGGCTACCGCTACCGACCCACGAGAGGGCATGCACCCGCAACGCGGGGCTCTGTCCGGGGGTGTCATCTCGCCATGGAGGAAGTTCGTATTTCCGCGAACTGGCTCGCTGGCTCAAAGCTTTCCCCTCGAATTATTCCGCGTGCCAAGGAACATTGCTCTTGGCGTAGCTCTTGGCAGTCCTCCCGCAAGATGGCCATAGGCCATTGGATACGTACCCGTCTTGGAATGCAGCAAGACGGAAGCCAAATCGCGCCACGAGAGCTTCTGTGATCCAGCAGCAACGTGTCCAAAGAACACTCCCACCATGCGGGTACCATAGTAGACTCCTCGTGGTCGCGTGCGCGGGAGGCTTCCAGGGAGGCGATGCTCGTGCCTTAGATCAATTGCGCTTGTGTGAGATGCCAAGGACTGCGAGAGGACTGGGAGAGGATTGGAAGAGACTCGTTCGCCTGGCAGCGGCTAAGGATGATCTGAAAAGTATGATTGGTCTTTGGTGCACGAACATGACGAATTTGGGTATACGAATATCTTATGCAAACGCGCCGACAACAGCCTCATAAACCGAGAAAACAATACCGCCACTCAGCACTAGTCTTCCTAGCCTCATCGTACTGCCAGCCCAAAGCCCTGTCAGACCTCGTTCGCGAAGGACATCTCGACATGCGTTCCGAATTGTTGACCCTTGCGTCGATTGTGCTCTCGTCTTGATGGTATCAAACGGCTGCGAAGCATACACCGCGACAGTGCCGGCAATTGCGCCATTGACGAAAGTCATAGCCGCATTGTTCGGAAGATTGAATTGACTGGAAGTCTCTTTCAGTGCGTTGTAGGCACCCATGCGCGTGGCAGACGTGGCCGACTGTTTTGCAATCGTCGAAACCAGGCCACGATACAATGCTGAGACTCCCTGCTCGCTGACAAGGACCCTCGCGGCATGGAGACCGCCTCGGAATCTCCGTTGTCCTCGAGCGTCGTCGATAAGAGCTGTTTTAATTCGTTCCGTCGGTGCTACTGCGACGACTGCTTCAACACTGCCGGCGCCCATACCAGCTAAGATTCCCCTGCCAAATGAGAGCTTCCCATTCTCATCTGCGAGCATGTTCTTGATGGAATCGTATGTGAGGAATCGGACGCCGGCTTTGAACGCTGTGCCGACGACGAGTGTTGAGCATCCTGTGTAGATGGCTCGCACTCCATCTTCTCTGGCAACTTTGGAAAGGACTGTGAGTACTCCTGGCTTTGGGCCGCCTTGAAACTCTGGTAGCTGGGCTCTCGTCTTCGAGAATTCGAAAGGATATGTGACTGCTGCTTCTGTTGCTCCTCCTGCTGCGCCGGCGAATAGCGACAGTATCGACGAGACCTGCCTCTTCGTTTTAGGAGCTGGTGCGGTAGCGGATGCTTGGACCGGTTCTGGTACTGGATGTAGTCCCACCCCAGCTGTCGCCATGTCTATCGGAATTGCGAGATCAATTGTATGTATTGATACGGACGTTGTGTTTCGCGAAGTTTGCATGAGTCGACTTGAGGTACGTGTGATCAAAGCAAAGTCATGAACTTGAGTTCTTGGCCGCCCGGTGCCATATTTCAACAACGACAGGAAATGATCTCGGTAGGGGAGACTCGGACGATGGCCTCGCCGCGCGAATTTGCATGGGCGTGGTCCAACGCGACGGGACGCGACACGGCTGTAAACAGCAGGAAGATCTGAGTCGCCGGACCAGATGTGCTGCTGATGCTAATTTCCCCACACAGATGCGACCCGTTATGCCTTGCTCGTACCCGCAGGCGGCCATCGGTGCAGGCACGGTGTAGGACGGACCAGGTGCCGAAAGACGGGTACGGACGGGCGGATGGGCCCAGATCTTTTCAAAGTCTCCACTCTGGCCACGGGATTAGCATACCCGGCGGGTACAGCGTACCCGTATGAGCCAGCGGATAAAGCGCTATCCGTCGTTTCTCCTCCACCATGTTGCGGCTCGAATTGCGCAGAATGCGAACAGTACTTCGCGATGGAGCTTGTGGGGAATATCATAGGGGCGCGGGCGATGATGAGGGATTTCTCGGGGTCGCTCGAAGTGCAGACGTATAACATGGCTGTCAACGCAGGCGAAACCATGCTTCGCAATACCCATCGACACCTAGACGATAGACCAAGTCAATCATTTCTGTATGGCAAGCGTCGTACACTCAGCATTCCACAACATACCAAGACTTCCGCAGCTGGCCAGCAAGATAGCTGCTACACCCCTCCCGCTTGGCATACCACTTGAGTGGCCTCCACGAACAACAGCCACGCCCATCATGCAAGCGGTGCAACAGGACCAGAGCAGACGCCTGAGACGGCGAAAATGTCTTCCAGCGTCCTTGATGAGAGCTGGCACATCAAGAGGCTTATTCATCCACCAGAAGTACCTTCCGCAGTCAAGCGATGACTGGAAACCATGGATCTTGGCGGCCATGGGCTCGAAGAATGGCGATGTGAGACAGCTTGATGGCGTTGGAGGAGCAACGTCAACCACGTCCAAAGTCGCAGTCATCAAGCCTTCTGAGCAGCAAGGAATAGACGTCGAATACACCTTCATTCAAGTAGCCATCGGCAAGGAAACACTTGACTTCAGTGGTAATTGCGGCAACATGGCAAGCGGCGTCGGACCCTTCGCAGTGGAAGAGGGCTTGGTGCGAGCGGAGCCGGGGGCTACACATGTTGATGTGTCGATCCTGAACACAAATACCGGAAAGCGGATAGTCGAAACAGTCGAAGTTGATGAGAGGGTCAATACTGCGAAGACGGCGATTATGTCTGTCCTGGCGTGAAGGCACCGGGAAGTGAAGTCAAGGTTGCGTTCATGAGTCCTGAAGGCAGCATGACAGGCAAGCTATTCCCAGCAGGAGAGCGGACGAGCTCGATACACATCACAGAACCCAGGAATGGTGTCGCGCCCTTCGAGGTCCAGGCCAGTCTTGTGGATGCAGCGAACCCATTCATCATAGTCGACTCAACATCTCTGCCGTTGGGTTTGGAGGCGGACTCGTCGATATATCTCGATTTGGTCGAGGATATCCGACGTGCTGGCGCGGTTCAGATGGGCCTGGCAACCGATACTGCTCACGCTGCAGCCACTAGAGGAACGCCAAAGATTGCCTTCGTATCACCTGGCGAAGCTCCGATGCCAGGCAAGCAGTCAAGCGATGTCAGGGTAGCAGCCATGAGCATGGGCAAGGCGCATCCAAGTCTGCAGTTGACAGGCGCCGTTTGCTTGGTGCTGCGTCATGTATACCCGGCACAGTGCCATACGCCGCACGTCAGGCTACTCAACGGGTCAGGGCCTTGATGACACCGCCCGACTCCGAAGGTTCCGACGATGAGACATCTACGCTGACGAGCTCTCGTAAAGAGCAGGCCAACGGTGAGACAATCTGGCTACAGCATCCCAGCGGACAGATCAAAGTCGTGGTGAAGCTCCAGCGTGACGAGAACGAGGTCAGGATCGAGAGCTGCAGCGTCTCAAGAACAGCAAGGAAAATCTTTGATGGACAAGTGATGGTGAATTTATAGAAGAATAGAATGATACCCAGCTTGTACTGAAACGAGCCAAGCATCCTTAATCTTCTCCAAGGCTGAATGTCAGCCTTCTGCTAGGCTTCACGCTCTTCGCTGCTCCAGACCAGCTTTGCTCACCCATTTCTTGATTCTGGCTACCTTTCATGAGATGCTTTGTGATCCTAGAAGAGAAGAAGACTCTACACGTGATGACTTGAATTCTTGCAGTGATGATGTTTGCTGGGCAGAGAAATGTCGGGTAGAGCTTCCGGAATTCCACCATCGAACAGACGCGATGCGGGGAAGCTATGGGCGGGTGAAGAGTGCTGAATCCCAAAGCGCGTAGGCGTCACTGCTCACTTTCTCTTCGTACCCGATGAAAACTTCATCCGTCGGACGACCGCTTGCGCGTTCACATATCCGGGGATATGACGCCGGGCTCAGAGATCTCGCCCAAGACAACCACAACTTCTGGCGCACCACGCAAACGCGTCTCGGAAGCTTGCACGTTTTGCCGTGGTCGCAAGATCAAATGCAACAACGAGAGGCCGGTGTGCTCGAGCTGTAGAACGTACGGCAAGACTTGCGTGTTCGAGCCCATTGATGAGGCAGAACGGCAGACGAGCAAGATACGCCCATCTCGCAGGCCACGATCTCAGAAGGACTCGACTTCGGGCCCACTTCCTGCTTCTTCAGTCCACAACGATGACGGCGGCGACGATGGCAACACTGGTCAGAACATTGTCGCCCTGACAGACAGTCCGCAGAGGTCGGTTTCCCGACTCATTCACTCTGCGGAAGGCGTCTCCAGCTACCATGGCCGTACCAGCGCCCTGTTTGAGGACAACAATGGCCCGGAGCCGCGTGGCTGCCCCGAGCCTCCACGCCCGCTGACTGGATCCAGAAAGGGCTGATTGCGGAAGCCGCCCAGCAGAAGCAAATGGAGCGGGTGAACTATCATCAAGGCAAACTCGACTTCGATGGCGTCGATCCCGAACTAGGCATGCATTTGCTGGACCTACACTGGAACCGTCAGCACCACTCGTATCTCATCACTTACAGGCCGGTCTTCATGCGGGATATGGCGTGTGGCGGACCATACTTCTCGGCTTTGCTGTTGAACGCAATATACTTTAGCGCCTCCAAGTTCAGTCCACGGCTCGAGGTCCGCAGAGACCCTGACGATGTGAGAACGGCTGGGTACCGGTACCGAATGAGAGTCAAAGAGCTGCTCGGAAGTGCTTTGGACTCAAGCAACATCACCACTATTCAAGCACTGCTGATGATGGCGCAATCATTGTTCGCTCTAGGAGATGAGCGCAGTGCTGCATGGCTGTACGCTGGCATCGCATTTCGAATGCTCATTGATCTTGGTATGCATGCGGACACGCTGGCGCTTCAGGACTACAAGCGTCCTTCTGATGAGGATCTCGAGGTTCGGCGCAGGGTTTTCTGGGGTGCGTTTGGTGAGTGGACTCCGGAGCTCTGGGTGTTTATGGGCTCGATGTGCTTACAAAACAGTGGTGGACAAGATGCAGAGTTTGTACCAAGGGCGACCCGTTTCCCTGCAGCAGAGCGACTCCCGAGTTCCGATATCTTTTCTTGATACCTATGAAGAGTATGAAGACTGGAAGCCATTCGCCTACGAGCCGCATGCGATGCAGACATACGCCGGCTGTCCCGCGTACAGCGTTAGCACATTCACGGGGCTGTGTCAGCTGTCGGTTATAATGAACAGCATACTGAACGACATCTACGCCGAAGCATCGTTTGATAAGACTCCAGAAGAGCTCTCAAAGCTACAGAAGACTCTCGACGCGCGGCTAGCCTCATGGTATGACCAGCTGCCTCATCACCTCAAGATCGCACCAGCCGAGATTCCTGCAGTAATTCCACCTCCTCACGTCCTTTCTTTGATGTGAGTCCAGTCCCTTCCGCAACATGTCGCGACTGACATGTGATAGGGCGATGTACAATGTGATCCTCATTCTTCTTCATCGGCCCTTCGTTTCCGATGGTCACCTACACAGCAATGCGCGGTCTATCACAGTCAACTCGTTGCTTGTATGTGTCAAAGCTGCGACTGCCATTGTTCACATCTTGCGACTCTATCACGAAGCTTACAGTGTTCGCCGGGCTCCGTACCTCATCTCTTACGCCACCTATGTCTCAGCCACAATCCACGTTCGCATCGCCGCCAAGCGGCAAAAGAGTTCTGATGCACACAAGTCTCTTGCGACCTGCTTGGAGGTCTTCCGCGTCAACCAGGAAAGCAACTGGGCGGCGCGGAGGGCACAGAATATCGTTGAAGGGCTAGCGAAGAAGCTGAAGATTGAGCTACCAGACACAGGCGGTGCCCTTGCTCTCAGCCGCAACGGCAGCGATGCCGCCACGGCACAGATCAACTCTGCACAAACGCCAGCCTATCAGTACCCACACCCGCAGGACCAGGAGCAGACCAAGCCACCAGAAGAGAACAATTACTTCGTGTCGGATGTCGATTGGCAGCAGGGCTTCTCGCCGAACATGGATGTGGATGGAATCATCCAGAGTTTCGCGCGACAGCAGGACCCTCAGCATCCTGGCACTCTGCAGTATGCAGTGCCTAACGGTATGGATGGATCGGGTTTGCTGCAGCATCAAAGTTATCTTGGAGACGACAGCGTCGGACACAATGGGCACAGATCCGAACAGCAGGTTGGAGATGCCTTCAGTGCGTCTTGGACGATCCCAACGGATGTCCCACTGGACGATATGCTCTTTGGGTTCAACAGCTCGACACTCGATGGGTTCTCTATGGCGTATGATTATGGTCAAGGTCAGTCGTAGAGGCTCGGATTATCGATATGTGTGCAACCGGACATCAAACAAAACGAACCCCACCAGCAGCGTGATCGATGCGGCGGTCGTGGAACAGGCAGCCGGAGCCCTCGCTTAACATCCAATCGAGGTCTGATGCCCAAAGACCCCGCAATTGCCCAGCAGGAACAACTTCGGAAGGCCTGACTAATCATTGTGTGCCCAGCGATGAAAGCGCGTGGCAAACATAACAGACACATACACCATGACCACAGCCTTGGAGTTCAGCGCACTTCAGCATGCAGGGATCGCAAACGCATTGCGCACAGAGCACGCAGCCTCTCGTCTTCGCGCAATGCCCTTGACATAAAGCGAACAGTTGACCACCTGCAATACCTGCGGAGTATTCTCTGTCTCGATCGGAGACCTGGGCGATCTGGGTCAGGGTTCGATCAGCAAGAATGGTATCGCTCTATTTTCTACCGCCGCAGGACCATGGCGCTACTGCAAGAGAGGTCAAGCTGCTGCAATCCGAAGCCCGAGCACATGCCGCGAGCGTTGCGTACCAGCGTCAACCGAAGAGACACGCCTGCGACGCGCGCAGAGCTCGGCAGTATGGCGCTACCAAGCGAGCAGCAAGACGCTCGGCTGTCGTTGATGCCGTGTTGCCATGGCCACGTTCTATCACTGGATCGCTGGATCCCTTCATTGGGCTGGCTGATAACTTGTCGCCTGATGATCAGCGGCAGCTGCAGTTCTGTGAGAAGATTCACGCCACCGCTTGCGACCACTACTGACAGCCCTGTTGTTCTATCGATACATAGCTCACAGCATTCGGCCTCTGACAGGCTCTACTGCCACATCCAGAACAGCTTCCTGCCTGTCCTGTGTACGGCAAACATCGGAATTCATGGAATCATGCTATTCATCGACTTGTGGAGCGGAATGGACCAGGTGCAGATCGAGAGACGTCGCAGCGGACTGTTAAGGAAGATGTTGCATCTCGTTAAGAAACCAGATTCATTTGCTGACACGAGTACGCCGATTGACTTAGCAATATTGACCGTTGCGGAAAACATCATCGGAGATCTGACAGCCATGCGGTCTCACCAAGCCGGGCTAAGGACATGGTTCAGCAGCAATGGAGGCATGCAACGTCTTCACTCATCGTCTATTCACCCTTCATCGGCCATAATCATCATGTCTGAGATGAGCAGACCTTCATTTCCTTTGTTCCGCACCCACAGCGAACTCAAGGCTGCTCTTGATCGACTGAGACTCCCGCATGGACAGTACTGGCCATCTGTTGTTCGACGCTGCAAGATATGCTTCAAGTTTGGGGATTTATTCATGCTGTATCTGCTCAACCACATCTCAGAGCACGCGCCGCCGGGACTTCTGGATGATATCGATCGTTCGTTCCCGGAAGAAGGACTCATCGGATTTGTGGCTGCGCAGTATGCCATTGAGACCGCAATACGAAAGCACCATTGTAGCGATATATGCAACTATGGTGCAGTACTCGAGTTTGTTCATCTGATGCGCTACACGTCAAGCGACACTCAAGTCAGAACTGCGGCTCACCTCATCGACAATATTTGCGGCGTTCAAAGCATACAGCCAGTCGGCATGGAGGATCTTAAATTAGAAGTCGACATGGCGAGCACAGCCAATCTGGACAGGCCACGAAAGCTCAGCTGGACCGGTACAACGGAGAAAACAATCGTTACGTACCATCAGCATGCTCCGACGTGTTGTCCCGAGCGACTGCATCCTAGGTACAATGCCGCAGATGGCTCTTGCGCTCGAACTGCGCCTCCGGCGCGGCTCCGGACATCTTCGAAGATGGGGTTGAGCCAAACTTGTTCCATAAAACAACTGGACGGAGGACCCATGCAAAGTACAATTCACTACGAATGCAGCGAAAGGGAGGCGATGGAAGCTCGCGCCGGCTTGGGAGCGACTCGAGCAAGGTATCGCTGAATTTGATTAAGGCAGCATCTCCGCTGCCAATCAACCTTGTCGGCTCCTGCACACGGACGAAAACTTCTCACGCTGTGATTGTTACTCTCCAGACGTCTTTGTCGGCAACTGGGCTCCACATCTGCGCGGGTCATCGTCTATCGTATCAACCGAACGCCCGGGCTCCCAATCTTGCGCCTTGGAATCAGCTGGTCTGAGTGCAGCTCGGATAGTCCGTATAGCCAATCTCCCGGCGCTTGGATGGGCCGTAAAATGTCTTGCGATTGTACGTCGTCAAGAGCGTTCCCGATCTCAGCCTGTCGACGAGATCAGGATTGCTGACAAACCATCTCGCGAACGCACACGCATCGATAGTCCTTTCGGATTCTACAATGTCCCAACAAGTTTCATCATTCCAGCCTCCTGCACTGATTATCGGGACTTGGTGCAAGATGTCCCGGGCAAAGCTCAGGTCCATGGCCTGGTCTCGAGGCCAAGCGTCGCCGATCTTGTTCAAATCGTCCTCCCGCGGCTCGACGAAATGCACATAGCTGAGATCTGGATACCTTAGCTGGATCTGTTGCAAAAGACAACTCCAGGTCTCGAATCGATGGCCGTCGCCCATATCGTTGTAGACGCCGAAGGGCGACAGTCGGATCGCAACGTTCCTCACGCCGATAGCCTCGCCTATGCTCTCTATCAGGTCCAAAGCGAACTTGCACCGCTTCTCGGGACTACCACCGTATGAGTCGCTTCGTGTGTTGACATTGGAGTTCAAGAATTGGTCCACAAGATAACCATTTCCAGCGTGGATCTCAACTCCGTCGAAGCCAGCAGCCATGGCCATCTCTGCGGCGCGAACATAGTCGTCAACTGTCCTTTGGATGCCCTCCACGTCGAGCGCAACCGGTGGGTGGTCCCTATATGCAACCAAAGAGTCCATATACGATATGTCTGTGGGTGTGAATGGAGGCGGATACGGATACTTCTCGTTCGTCGAAAATGGCGTCGCCGACGCCGAGACAGGACTGTGTCCAGCGTACTGCGGGATGCAAGCACGTCCGTGATGCGTAAGTTGGGCGTATATGAACGCTCCACGAGCGTGGACAGCTCTGTGACCTGGACATGTCAGCTTGGAACCTGTCCACAAAATGCAGCACGTACCAACTTCCAGCTCTCCAAGTGCTCGGTAAGCCACATACCAGGGACTCCAGGCATGGCCCCAGACTCCGCGCTTGGCAGTATGCTTTCTGTGATCAAGAGACCTCCTTGACTGGCGCGCTGCGCGTAATATTCTGCCATCAGCTCGTCTGGCAACCATACTCGATTCTGCCGCTCTTCTGTGCTGTCAGGCCACAGAGGCACGCCGCGATTGCGAGTCATCGGCGCCATCACTACGCGGTGTTTGAGCTCGATGGCGCCATTGGATATCTTCAGTGGCGTGAACAATTTCGACTGTGGCCCCTTCACTCGGGCCACTCCGCCATTCGCTGCAATTCCTCCTTCCGCGGAAACCATGCCTGTGACGCCTGCCATGCACCCCGAAACGATGCTATCTTACCGTGGTGTTAGAAACCGCTGCGTCTTGCCTGGCTCACATGGTACAGTATACGATGTTATAGAAAGTTGTCGGAATTTCTGAGGCGCAGCCTGAGATCAGACGTCCCGGCATGGCCTTCAGGTCCAACATTGTTCCGATGCTGGCTGGAGCTTAGCGCGTTGATGGCGCAATCAAGCCGTGGAAAATTGGAGATAAAGGCCCGATCGGCTATGACTGCCGCACCCCGGCGAACCTCTCCCGCCCGTATCTTTCACCTCCCCAAGACCCTGGAATATACAATGAACGGCATTGCACGTGTCTTGGTGGTTGCGCCGCGTAACAATACTGGATTACCATCACGTCGCAATGGCAGGCAACGCGAAAAGTATGATGCAGCTGAATTTCTTCGATGCAGCTTGCACCGGAAGTCATACAGCAATCGGGCAGTGGAAGGATCCAGCCGACAATTCACGAACCAAAGACAGACTCGAATATTGGCTATGGCTTGCACAACTCGCAGAGAGGGGAAAGATTACTTCAATCTTCATTGCCGACAGTTATGCCGGACACCAGACGTATGGAGGCTCTGCAGACGCTTCGTACAAAGGTGGCTCTCACATTGGGAAGCTGGATCCCCTCACAATTGTATCGGCGATGGGAGCAGTGACGAAGACTGTTTCATTCGGAATCACGGCCAGCACATCGTACATTGCCCCATACGCGTTGGCTAGAACCTTCTCGTCTCTTGATCATCTGACCAACGGCCGTGTGGGATGGAATATCGTTACGAGTCACAGTACTTCTGCAGCACAGGCCTTCGGTCGGGACGAAGTGGTACCCCACGATGAGAGATACGCTGCCGCTGAGGAATATATGGACATCGTGTATCAGTTGTGGGAGAAGTCCTGGGAGGACGGCGCACAGCTTTTCCAAGAGGAGCCAGAAATGGCGTACGACCCCCGCAAAATCCACAAGATCAATTATGAGGCAAATACCACAAAATGAATGCCTTCCACCAAACACACCCATCGCCCCAACGAACACCGCTGTTGTTCCAAGCAGGATCCTCGAAAGCTGGCATAGAATTTGGAGGAAAGCACGCTGAGGCGATCTTCTGCGCGAACCCGACAATCGCGTCGGCAAAGAAATACACTTCTGCTGTTCGTGCCAAAGCAGTCGAAGAAGGCAGGGACCCGTCATCCATCAAGTTCTTCCTAGGCATCATGCCGATCATAGGACGCACAGTAGAGGAAGCTGAGGCCAAGCTAGAGGTAGCGAGGAAACGTATCAGTGTCAACGGAGGTCTGGCTCGTTTCTGCGGCTTCACCAACGTGGACCTCAGTGGCTTCGCGGTAGACGAGGAGTTCAACTTCGATGGCACGCATTACGACAACAGCATACAAGGTGTCGTTGATAACATCAAACTTATATCAGAAGAGAAGGTCTTCACACCTCGAGTTGTCGCGGAAATGTTTGCGCTGGGTGGCTCAGGTCCACGGCCTGTGGGAACGCCTGAGATGGTCGCAGACTTCTTTGAGAAGTGGTGGCGAGAAGGAGACCTGGATGGCTTCAACGTCAACTGTAAGTGTGGCTCGTGAAATCCAGCGTTGTTGCTGACAAGTGCAGACGTGTCAAATCCAGGGAGCTTCGAGGATGTTGTTGATCTACTGATACCCGAGCTCCAGAGACGTGGCATCTACTGGACTGACTACAAGGCGCCTGGCGGTACGGCAAGAGAGAACCTACACAGTAAGCCAGGCGAGGCTCTGCTGCCCCGGGAACACCCCGGAGGGAAGATGCGATGGGATGCTTCGCCCAGTCGAGTAGTCACCGACCAAGCCACACCTGAAGGGGCGGTGGAAGCAGAGGTAGTGACAGGCAAGAGATCGGACATCGCGAGCACAACGATATCCATGCAGGAAGTAAAGGTGTAATATACGTATCGTATACTTCGATAGCAAGGAGGCGGGCAACCTTGTAACACCTTAGCCTCGACGTCTTCAACGAACCTCATCATTTGGTGGTGATTCGCTGTGCACGTGAAACCATTGTGGTGCTGCTGATCACGAGACATTGCTGCGACGGCATCCATGGATGCTTAACCGTGTGTATGGGTGGGCGAAAAAGCTTACGACACATTCCTGAATAATTTCTCCGGGCGCCACGATTGCATGTCCGCCCGCGTGGGCCTAGGCGAAAAATGCTGGGACTTCCTCCGCATTGGCGTGGCTGGGGTGGCCCGTGAAGGTGGGCATGCCCAGGGCTGTAGATAAGGTCAAGGTCGGGAGCGCTTGCCGCCGCGGTGTCTTCTGCCGCAATTACGGCGACATGCATCGAACGTCCAGGCTGATCAGGTTCTTCTACTGCCGTGACTAGTGCGACAAGCGGCTCGAGTCTCGTCAACAATGGCTCTTCCGATGACTCGCGTTCCTGGCCGCGGCCTTCGATGGAAGCGGGACAGATCTTGCGTGCTCCAGTCATCGCGGCATCCGACAAACGCCTACTGTTTTCGCAGGTGATGATGGCTGCAAGCGCAGGCCAGACTATATGAAAGCACCAGCGACAGTGCCTATCCGCAGACCTTTCAGTCTCATTGCAGATAGTTTCCAGACCTACAGATCTATTATAAGCTAAATTCGCCATGGTTTCATCATCAACTAAGTGGTTAAGCAGCCTTGTGTGCTTTCGTCGGAGACTGAAGCCAGAGGTCCTCGATGGTGAGCACAGCAGCCATAGATTCGGTACGGACCACAAGGAGCCCGTTGAGTCATCACATTCGATCAGCACAACGTTACAGCAGTCTGCCAGGACGAGTCGAGAATCTGTTGCGGGAAAAAAGCGTCATGATTTTAGCCCGCAGAAAGAGCCTGCTGTGGTTGAGCGGACGGTGAGTGACGATACGCTGGCAACAGTGTCGGTGGAGAAGGGATCGAGCCTCAACCAATCTCTATTAGTGGTCGCCGAACGACAGTATAAGCTCGTCGACGACTGCGCATACCCAACATTAGCAAATGAACGAGAAGTCATTATACGGCCAATGGCTGTGGGACTCAATCCGATTGACTGGATGTCAGTCGACTACAACTTCTGTCTACCGAGCTTTCCTTGGATCACCGGCCGTGAATGTGCGGGCGTTGTGGATCATACTGGTAGCGAGGTCACGAATGTCAAAGTCGGTGACCAAGTCTGGACAAGTACGTCAATTACTTACTCGAAAGGTTCTCATACTGACCAAACACTAGGCACCTACTATCGCGATAGACGAGCGGGCTGTTTTCAGCAATTTGTCACAGTTCCGGAACATACCGTGCTCCCAATGCCAGCCAATCTCAACTTCGACCAGGCTTCTACATTGGGAGTCGCAGGGTTGACGGCTGCCATGACGCTGTGGAAGTGGCTGGAGGTTACCATGCCATCTGTTTCGTGTACGGCGGGATCGTCACCGCCGGCACAAGCTACGCCATCAAGATCAGACGAGTATCTGCTGATCTGGGGCGGTGCCACCATGACCGGCCAGTTCGCCACGCAGATAGCTCGTCTGAGTGGCTTGAAGACAATTTGTGTCGCTTCAGAAACGTCGAAGTCATTATGTACGTCACTTGGCGCGACTCACGTTATCACACGCGATGGGAAATCCCCCGAGATGCTCCTTGAGGAAGTCCAAGCCATTGCAGCAGACAACATCACTTGTGCGATCGACCTTGTCGGAGCAGAGACAGCAAGCTACTGCTTAAGAGCTGTCTCGACACAAAGACCGGTCCTCTTTGCACCCCTGGCAATGATGAAGAACGATATGGCTATTGCAAGGAACGTCCGGATAGAGACTGTGGAGATGAAAAGATTCGTTCTGGACGAAGACAACGCCTTCTACGCTGAAAGACTAAATTCCTTGATCGAGGCGGGAGCCGTGAAGACTCCTGAGCTGGATGTCATGGAGGGCGGGCTGGCGGTAGTAGAAGAAGGACTTGCAAGGATTAAGGCCGGGAATAGGAACGGCAGGAAGGTAGTAGTACGGATGTCCTGAGATAAATCAACGCATAAAGTTCAAGCCATAAATCACTTCCAATTCTTCCTTGTTGACGATTTGTCGAGTCGCTGGCTTCGACGCTGCTGATCCTGATGCTGACAAAATGTGTGCGCTTTGCTGTTCGCGATGGACGAACTTTAGAAGCCTTGTTCTTGTGAGTATGATGGATGAAGCCTTGTTCTCGCGAGTGTGATGGACGAAGCCTTGTTCTCGCGAGTGTGATGCTTGCTGTTGTACGACTGACAAGAAGCACTACGGCGGAAGTGGAACGCGAATCGAAGAACAAGGTGTGCAACCGAACACAAATTCTTGTATTGACTATGTAACACAGCGCTGAGGAGGATACAGTAAGAGAAGAGTTGGTCGATGAGAATCTCCACTGGCGGCACTGCCTTCGAATTGGCCCAGGCTAGATCGCGTACAACCAATCTGTATCGGGCATGACCCGTGCCTAGGCGGCAACCTCGGGCAAGGCCTTCGACTCTGTCGCAACAGCCTGCTTTGGCGTTGTGCTTCCAGACTCACTTCCTGACGCGACGCCCTCGATGACTGTCCCCTCAGACGTCTCACGATCATCGAAGGGCTCAGCAATGCCCAAACCAGAAGGCGGGAACAGCTTGTTGACTGTCAGATGCAAGATACATCCAAGAAAGAAGCCCACGATATAGGTGATCTGGTAAATGCGAACCGCAGCGCCAGAAGTCTTTCCCATGATGGCCATCACGAGCCCAGCTGTGGGTTGCTAGTCAGCACAATATTCCTGCTGGGTAGGATTTCACTTACGCAGAGAGGGAACGACAGAAACAATGTAGACGAACCAGGCACGGAAGTTGATGCCATGTGTGTACCAGTAGATGTAGTCTGGTCCGCCTTGGAAGAGATCTGGAACCTTCCATGCACGCTTGCGAATGACCCAGTAGTCCAGGATGAGAATAGCCGTGCATACAGATGCGAAAACTGAAGTTCCATTAGCTGGGGCTGACGAAAGAAGTGTGGAAACGTACCCGCAAAGCTGGAGATGACAGAGATGAAGACCGTAGCTTGAGTGAAGAACCTCCACGGCTGCACAATGATGCCAGCGATCGTGAGCAGAATAGCGCCTCGCTGAGTGGAGATGTAGCGTGGAAAGATGCCTGCAAGATCCATACCGGCACCGACATTATTCTGTGTGACATTCACGAAGACCTGGTGGGACCAGATCGACAGGCCAGCGAAGAAGGTGAGGGCTCGGCCGCCTGCAGTGTAATGCTCCTGCTGGGCGAAGCTGAGAATGACAAGTGGCTGCCACATGGGCTTCCCGTACGTGGCATTGGTAGCGCTGGCAGTGAGAACACCCAGGATTGCGCAGAGTGTGATGCAGACAGGCATAGCCGTAGCAGAGCCAATAATGTACGAGTTCTTCTTCTTTGAGAAGCGTGTCCAGTCAGAGAATCGATCCGCCGCTCCGCCATAGGTGCCGCAGCTGCACAACGAGTCAGTACAATTAAAAATCGAAGGATTGAAGACTTACACGCTGCTTATACATTGGAAGAATCGGAATGTCCGTGCAGAGGTCGAGATTTTGATCGCGGGCGTCACCAGGCTCCCCGTGTGGCCGCCGTTCATAGCCACCGCCCAGCCCATGATACCGAAGACAGTGGCGATCGTGCCGACAAAGGCGGGCCACATGAACTTCTCCAGCTTGTGTGGCTTGATCCAGATCACCACGGGAAGATACAGAATGATGTAGAGGAAGAAGCCCACGAGGTCTTTGGTCGTAGTACCGGCACTGAGCCTGCGTTAGTCGTCGAGCGCAGGCTGCTCCTCCGGATCACTCACCTCGCAGGGAGGGTATTAGGTAAATTGCGGTAGGAAGAGCTCATTGCGCCGAGCATCAGACTGATGGCCTGTCCACCGTACACAGCTTGCAACCCGAACTTGCAGTGTTAGAGAAAGCACGACAGCAAGGGCATTGTGACTTACGAAGACAACATTGCTCATTAGCTGGAAAAACAAAGGAAGCCACATGCCACGAAGACCGAAGGAGACGCGAGCCATCATCGTCTGAGCACAGTCAGTCCATGTTCGGTACATCCGCATCGGGCACTCACATATCCCAGATGCTTCTCTGCTCCAGCACGACCACAGAGCAAGGCGTTCATGCTCGATACACTTGCTCCAATCAAGACAGCGCCACATGCTTGCCCTGCAGTCAAGCCGACAGCAACGTACGAGCTTCCGATGGCGAATGTAGAAAGACCTGCCGCACACGTGACCCAGTACAGCAGGTAAGCACCTCTACCATAGGTGCGCTCGGCTGGCACGATGGGGTACAGATCGTGGTTGCCCCATTTCGTGGTGCCCCGGTCTTGGTAGATGTCCTTGCGGGCGGGCAATTCGGCCCATTTCATGTATTTCGACATGTTGTGTACTTGCACTCTAGAAGGTTGGTAGTCCGCCTAGGCAGGGCAGCTGTGGTGCTTCTTATAGATCGAGGAAAGCCGAGACCCGTGTCTTAGCAGCCATGTTGAGGGCTGTTATCTGATATCTGGAAGACATACACACGGGCTGGCGGCTTCAATCTGCTGCTGTGGCTGTTCGAGATCATTGAGGACGGAACGAGCTTCCTCTGGTCGTCCGCAATATCGCTGGCACGATAACAGTCTGGACGCGTTGTACAGTCCCGAGCGGGAGCCGTTGCCGACAGTACGTGCATAGAGTCGGCATAGCTGGAGCCAGGGTCTACCAAGACCCACGTGGAGGGTTCTGCTATCTCGGACGCTCTGAGATGGCGGAATGTGAAGAGAAATGGAGCTCAGCCAAGGGGACGCGACTCTGATAAGCAGTTGTTGCAATAAGGTTAGCGTGAGATATGGGTGGGTCCATGCCCGCACGACCGGAAACCGCCCGCCATCCGCGATCTCGAGGTCTTCGTGTGCGATGCTTGCCACGCAATTACTCGTCCACTTGACTCGCGTTGTCTGCTCACAAGGCCACCGGTGCTTCAACAGGCCCGAGGTGTGTGATCTGATAGTGATCTGATGGCTACATGTGTGCTCCTCGAGACGTACGTCATTGAGGAATATAATTACTGGCGCCCCAACTTGCGCCGTTTAGATCTCCCCAATCTGTTGCTGCAACATCTTTCATCCACTGTTCCTGTACCATTGACGGCATAAGACTTCGGCTCGGGTCCTCACAGGGGTCATTCCAGAACGGAATGTCCTCACCTGTCATATCGCAGATCATTTGCTCCATATCGATCGTCGGGTTGCCCAGACTTACATCAACAGGTAAATCATTCAGGCTTGCCTGCATGTCATTGCTCAAAGGCAAGACCGCAGCTCGCGAAACGTGAAGTCCTGCCTCCATAGCCTGGAGAGCGGCGTTCTTGACAGCTTCAAAGAGGTCTCGGTACTTTCGGCTCTCTGGCCAACGGTCTGCCATCACGTACAACACGATGCTGCAGTCGCTGAGAGCCGAGACATCCTTGTAGCTTATGTTGACCGACGAGTCGCGCCACATGCAGTACACCAGCGAGAGGCCTGTAGATGCTGTCAGATCGAATCACGGGCAATTAACCCAGGGACGCACCGGCCAAGAACACAGATTGTAGGGACAATGACGTGAATGCGATGGGTAGCCGATAATGTAGCCTCTTATAGGTCTCGCAGAGTCCACGGCATGCTTCAGCACAGATTCCGATGTATTTGGTGTTCAGGGCCTTCTCGTACAGTCTAGGCTGGAGCAGTATTCGGACTGTTTTGTAATATGATGCCATCTACCACTCGTATTAGCATATGTGATCCAGAGCGCACGACTTGCGGCATACGTAGGAGTCATAGGTCCTGTAATCATTACCGTGTACCGAGGACCGAGCCCCATAGCCGACTTGTGGTACGGCGGCTGGTATCGCGTCTTTCCATGCCTGCAGCTTGTCCAGATACTTGTCTGTCGTCTTGTAGATAGCGTCGGCGGGCTTGGTTTTGTCCACGCGGTAGAGTTTGTGCTGAATCTCAGATTCCAAACGCTTCAGTCTGACAAGGTGGACGATTGTAGTCATGGTCGTAGGAGGGTTTGCTGGCTTCGTTCTGTCTTGCGCGGAAGCGCGACGCAGCTGGTCGACATCCTGCGTAGCTTCGTCGACCTCCAAGGGCAGCTGCTGTATTTAGCATAGTCTGGACACTTTGCCTCCAGTGTCACATACCTCCACATCGATGTCATGGTCAGAGATACATGGCGGCCTGCCCATTGCGACTGCGATTTCGCGTTCGTGCCAATAACACGACCAGAACATTCTTTTGTTGAGTTCCGACCTTAGCGATATCGTCGATCGACGACGATGGCGGTGCAGACCCAGCTCGACACACATCTTCATGGCCAAGCCGAAGAATGTCCTGTAAAATGATCAGGTCTCTGTGCATGCAACTGCACGCAGCACTTACCAAGCTCCGGGATCTTTCGGCATTCGATAACACTAGCACCCATGTAAGCGCCGCTGGCTATCGCGAAGGGTTTCCAAAACTCACATGCTGCCCAAGGAGCAGGAGGTATGTAATGGCTCGCGTATCTCCTAGTCGCAGTATGGTCTCTCGATAGCCCAATGCGACGCGATAGTACATCTCTGGGTTGTATGCAACAGTGACATCTCCAGTCTGGATCAGTCAGTCCTTGTCATATCCAGCATTTTACGCGTGAGGGCATACCTTCTCCAGAAAATGGCCTCCAAGGCCGTAGATGAGACAGAGGATGCTCAGTTCGTAAACATCCCGCAGCTCCGCTCGGCGTGCGTGGAGATTCCGGATATCGAACGAATACATGATGGGAAAATTCGTGCTCGTATGCTTCAAATATGCGTCCAGCATCAAGTCGGCCGCTTCATCATCAACTTGGCAGATCTGCGCTGTCATGGAGGATAATGTGCCAGTGTCAGGACTGTTCGCATACGATGCTATGCGAGAATGCTCGGACTCCTTGTAGCTGGGAGGAATGCACAGGTCCGACTTTCCAGCCAAGGCCGTCTCGAGAGCCCGACCCAGGGTGATCGTCGATGCACCTCCGACATACGAACCAGCGACATCCAACGACAGATCTCGGACAGCATTGAGGAGAGGCTCGAGGTCTTCCGCGTCGACATCCAGAGGTTGCTGTGGCCTGCCCGCCGACCAGTGGTCGCTGGAAACGACTCGATCTCCATCTTTCGCTAGAAGGTTCTCGAGCTCGGCCACGCGATCTTCGAGAGCCTTGATGTACAAGCGAGCCTGGCCTGGCTTTGGGTTAATTGGCATAACATAGTGGCAGTCGACTTTGAGCCTGAGGCATCTGGCGCAGGAAGCTGGTCGCCATTGCACTACAGACGCATCAGCACGGCTTGAACGGTCGCCAGGAGATGTGAACGGCCACGTACCTTCTGTTTCCTATGCTTGCATCTCTGGCAGGCCAACGACACTCTGGATCTTCGACTCGGCCCTGCAGGCTGGACAGTTACAGTGTCTGCCTCCTCCGCATCCAGACTAGATATCGTGCGCGGACTATGGTACTCTTCGGTTTCCATGGTTGCAGAGCTTGCTGGAGCGGTATTGCTGCCGAGAAGAGCCCATTGTCAAGCACATCCGATCTTCAGGCGGAGTAATAAGAGGAAGATATTGCCGTGTGGCAGCTTGTGGTGGGATACGGCGTATCTCGGGGAAGAACGTCGTGGGTGGGCGCGTCCTCGAAAGATAAACGTTCTTCTTATCTAGCGGGGATTTCAGGCGCCAATAAGGAGAACTCTGGCTAAAGGGTCGCCCGCACACGAGTCATGGTGGTCTTTCAAGCTTCATCGTGGCAGATCATGCTCGTTCCATCGGCATCGACTCCCGCTGTGCGGCGCGTTCAACCCACAACATCTCTGTAGCGCTCTGATTCGCCTTTCTTACCACGGCTTCCAAGACCGTCGGCATGTCTGCGGATGCCAGAGTCTACAGAGGACATCAGACTGGCGGGCGCAGGATATACAAATACCATCCGCCCGCAGTCCTGGAGCAGCATCCGCCATAGGACATCAATTTCTTGCATTTGAGCCAACCCACCTCAAGCAGAGACCCAGCGAAATCCACCAAAATGGCTCCCAACAAGAAGCTGCATCTCAACTTCTTCGAGATGGCATGCAACAGCGCTCACATGGGACTGGGCATGTGGAAGTGAGTGCCCAGACATCGCGATAAATCGCGCGCCCTCTGACTTTCCAGGAATGCCGGAGATAGTCAACCGCAGAAATCGAGCATCGAGTATTACACATGGCTTGCGAAGCTGGCAGAGAAGGGGAAGATCTCTGGCATCTTCTTCGCCGATGTATACGGTGTCGATGACACATTCCCGGGCCAAATGCTGGAGCAGTTTCGGTCTGCTTCCAATTGCGCACAGATGGATCCCATCGTCTACATTTCGGCCATGGCCGCGGTGACGAAGTCCGTGTGCTTCGGCATTACTGGTAGCACATCATACATTAACGTGAGGAGTCGTTGCAAGGATCTTGGAGCACGCTGCTAATGAGGCCAGCCCTTCGTTCTAGCTCGGACATATTCGACTCTCGACCATGCGACCAATGGCAGAGTGGCATGGAACGTCGTCACCAGCTACTCAACATCATCAGCAAAGGCTAATGGCATGGATAACATCACTCCTCACGACAAGAGGTATGAGAAGGCGCACGAATATGTGGACCTGTGCTACTCGTGAGTCTCCGTCTCGCACATCAGTCAGCCAGCGACGAATCTGACAGTACGACAGGCTATGGGAAGGCTCCTGGGAAGACGGTGCGACTGTGTTTGACCGCGAAACCGAGGTTGCATACGATCCAGCAAGGATTCACAAGATCAACTTCAATGGCAAGTACCACAAGACCTCTGCATATGGTGCCTCGCACCCATCACCACAACGGACGCCCGTCATCTTCCAAGCTGGACAGTCGAAAGCCGGCAAAGCATTCTCAGCCCAGAACGCCGAAGCGATCTTCGTTGGTGGAGGCAAGCCCTCGGATACCGCTCCTTATGTCAAGGAGATGCGTGCCGCTGCTGCGGCCAACGGACGAGATCCGCAACACATTAAGGTCTTTCCCCAGATGACGCCCGTCATCGGCAGGACTTTGGAAGAAGCGCAAGCCAAGTATGAGAAGTACAAATCTCTGGCCGACTGGAAGGGCGGCATTGCCAAGCTGAGCCAATACATCAACGTGGATCTCAGCAAGTATCCAGCAGACGAGCCTTTCGATGTGATGGCTGTTGGAACGTCGGATAACGCAATCCATGCGATCATCAACACATTGAAGCGGTATAAGGATCAGGTTGTCACCCCGAGAATGCTGGGTGAGAAGATGGCGTTCTGTGGATTCGGCCCAATGCCTGTTGGAACTCCTGAGATGGTTGCCGACGTCATGGAGGATTGGCTGGTCAATGCTGACATTGATGGCTTCAATATTGCTTGTGAGTGGCCCGAGAATTTGCGCTACGTTCAACTGACAATACCTGCAGATGTTTCCAACCCGGAGTCTTACGAAGATCTCGTCGAACTTCTTGTGCCGGTGCTACAGGCGAGAGGCTTGATGTGGAGCGACTACACGGTACCTGGGGGCACATATCGCGAAAATATGCTCAATACGCCTGGGCAATGTCATGTGCCGGACGGACATCCTGCCGCGAAGTTCCGGTACAGCGCACTCAAGGAGAAGCACGCTGACGAGAATGGAGATATTACCATTGATCGAAGGGAGCCTGTAGCTCCCAAAAGTGTTGAACCCAAAGGCTCGGAGTCTAAGACGAACGGCGTCACTCAGTCGATAGCAGAGATTAAGGTCGGCGCGTGATAGCCGCGAAAAGAGGAGGGCGATATATAGCCGATTCTAGTCCCGTATTTTGCGATCCTGTTTTCAACCGCGAATGCTAAAATGAATTCGGGAACGTAGTCGCCGTCGAGTATACATGTTCAAGATGGATTCGTGACCTCTGCGTTTCTGAGGACGAGGCTTTGCCAACGAAGTTGATCTTGCATGACTCGTGGTCCTCAGCGGCAATTGGGGCGAGCGAGGATGGAGCAGGGTTCCACTTCGACACAGCAGATGCCATGCATGCAGCAACATTCGGGACGGTAGCCCGAGCTGCGTTCATAACAGAGGACGCATTCCAATGTACTTCTAGTCCTGCCCAAAGGTCGACCGTCTTCTGAGCTCGCTTCCCCAAATCCAAACACAGACAGCGGCCGGCAAGCCAACACCGATCGCAAGGCCCCCAAGTAGAGTGTTTCCCCATCCCCATCCTAGTGTCTTATACATGCTTTCTGCCCCAAGTGGCAGAAGGAACGCTGCAATACTCCTGAGTACGGCTGTAGCTGCTGCAGCACTGGCCGCGTAGGTTGTATAGCTGTCCAAGACGTACGTCATGAGAGCATTGAAGCCCGTCATGATGCCTGCGGCGAAGACAAAAGCACCGATATTGGGCACGATCCAATGGAATGTGCGCTCTGCAGCCCAGCCGTACAGCAAGAAGCCGAGTGGTAGTACCACAGCAGACACTGGGAATAGCAAAGGGATTCGAAACTCGGGCAGGCCGATATTGCCATTGCGTCGTTTCAAGGCAGCGTATGTGAGATCTTGTAGTCTTCCGGAAGCCTGCCGAATACACATCAGCTGGGTCTTAGAACATGATCGAGCCTTAACATACCAAGATGCCCAACGAATAGCCAAGTCCAAGTGAGATGTAGTTAAGGCCAGCGATGCTCACTTTCTGGTGGTATTGCTCCCGCCAGAGCGTGGGGAACGTGGTAAGAACAATGTACATCAAGCCGTACACGTATGCTTGATATACTCCCATCACGATGATTATGACCTGTGTAGTCATCATACGGAGCGGTCGTATCATTGCGGACGTGATCTCCGTAGTGAAGTTGCGTTGCTCTGTGTTACGTGACAGCCCTGGACATTCTTTCTCGAGGAGTTCTCTTCGGCGTTTGAGAAGCGTCGGTGCATATGTCTCTTGCAATAGCAGTACCCCGAGCAACAGAATCGGCGCGTTTGCGATTGAAACACCCCAGAATCCCCATCGCCAGCTCCCATACTCGGTGAGGAAGCCTCCGCAGATTGGACCAATAGCAGGCCCCATAATAGGCATGAAAGAGTATACACCAGCGGCCAAGCCACGTTCTTCGGGAGCGAAGAGATCAACGAGGATTGCGGGCCCAAGTGCGAGAGGTGCAGAGCCACCAATGCCCCCGAACAATCGACAAACAATGAGTTGGGTCTTGGTTCGAGAGAAGCCGCCAGCCGTGTTGAAAATGACGAAGAGGACATTAGATGCCTGCAATATGATCGTACGGCCATACATCTCGGAGAGGGGGCCCAGCACCAGGGGCCCGAAAGCGAATCCAAGCACGAATATCGATAGACATAGTGACCTCTCGCTTTCGCTCTCAATGTCTAGATCTTGGCCGATAGCTTGAAGGCTGGGTGCGATGATTGATGATGCGACTGGTGACATGAGAGTGAACGCAGAGACTGTTAGCTATTAGTTGACTTCACGCTTCCTCGGTAACCACAGACCTATGGCGATAGCCGCCCACTTCCTCGATCTTTTCCAATTCTGAGGATGTTCGGGGTCATCATCGCCGTCCCAACTAACCGGGGCAGGGCTATGCACTTGAATACGGGTCTCTTGGCAACTTTGCTGTCCCGGAACGCGTTCCACGTCGACACCCATCGTGTACGTACAGTGCAGGAGATCAAAAGTCGCTACTGTGCCAATGGTCGGAGCAATGGTGACTGGATTCGCACACAGAGCACCGTTATAAAGGTTTGATTGGGTGCACTGCGTGTCATTGGCCGTGCCGGCGTTCAAACATTGTGCGACCTAACATCTGTAAAATTTGCAGAAGGTCATGCTTAGGCTACCGTCCCGAAGAGACGGCGAGATCGGGCTGCCTTGCGGCTCCATTGATTGCATTGCGATGCTTCTGCTGTCCGCGAGCCTGGGCTTGGCTGTGCTGAGCGCAGTACTGCGAAGAACGCGTTGGGTGATCCAATCGCGAGGACATCATCGGGAAGAGCGCCGCTGTTGATGGTGGCTGGTGAAAGGAAAGTGTCAACTGTGTCGGCAGGTAGTGCCGCTCTTGCATCGAGTGGAGAGTTTCAGGGCTTGGCAGGCTCTGCCATGAGCCTTTTTATGGGCGGATTGAAGGTGCAATTGACCCCTAGAACAACGTGCTTCCGGGCTCCGAGAACGTCGTCCCGGGGGACCCGACTCTCAGAACGAGCCTTTGGAGAGACCCGTTAACGTCTTCCCGCTTGGCCCCTGTAGCTTAGGCGACTTCCAAGGAGTGTAGAGTACGAACGCGGTGCTCCTGTCAATTGTGACCGACGGCTTCAGCCATCGCTGTTGTATAGAGCTATGCATTTGCTTAGCCTTCGTGCATCGCTTCCGGAAACATGATGGCTTTGCGATCTGGTTGATTGGATATGCAAATACGCAGCGGTCACCGCGGGCTTTGAGACTCGGCGCTGCGGAGACGGCGAAAATTCGTGGTAATGTTATGTAGCAAGAAGCCCCCTGCGGAGGTCGAGGTGGAATGAAAGCCTAGACGGCCTTGGGAAACTTATCATGCAGGCAGAATATATTTGCTTTGAAGAAGCACGAACATGACTTTTGCATAACGATGACACCGGGTACGGATAAAGCGATATATTTGTACTCGTCGGCAGCTTCCTGTGGCTAGCTTTACCTCTTCTCTGAAACACTTGCCGCATCATCTGCGACAGACGTGTCTCTCCCAACATTCTGCGAAGCCTCAATCTTCTCCGTAACAATACCTCCCTGGTTCGCGGCACTGAAGTCGGCGCCCCTGTTCTCTGGACCGATGAAGGTAATAACGATGTTGTAGATAATGCAGGCCGCTGTGAAGATACACATGACCTTGCCATAGTCGTAACGCTGAACGCCCTTTGCAGTGGGTGGCAGAGGATACTGCTCGCCGAGTTCTGCTTCGATAGTGACGCTCGCAGACGAGATGAGATTGCCCAACTGGTAAGCTGTTCCAACGGCGAAGGTACGCAGAGTTCCTGGGCTCAATTCCATCATGTGGATGGGCACGACACCCATGGCGCCCTGGATGAAGAACTGCTCGAAGAAAGCTGCAGCAGCCACCGCTTTGGTGGAGACAAAGCCGTATGGATACAGCAATGCCCCAGCCATAACGAACGTTACAAGCAACGTGAACCTGCGGCCGAACACGTTGCTGAGCCAGCCGACGGTCAGTCCGCCACAGAACCCTCCAAGGTTCAAGATGCACATCGTGATAGTGACATCATTGGGCGAGAATTGCAGCTGGTTCCGCAGCATGGTCGGATAGAGGTCTTGCGTGCCGTGCGTTTGGAAGTTCAAGCCTGCGAGCAGCAGTGTCATGTACACGAACATCAGCCAGTGCGTCTTAATGTTCTTCGACGACTCCTTGATGAACGACCGCATGCTGACAGTGCCCTCGTTCTCTCTTTCCATTTTCTTCTGATGAATGTAGGTGTCCGTCTCTGGGAGGCACAGTCGCCAGGCTATAATCAGCACAGGCGGACAGGCACCGAACCAGAAGTATGGTCGCCATCCGTGGGATGTGGTGTCGACAAGGGCACGAGCGAAGACTGTGGCCAAGAAGTAGCCAACAATGTATCCCATCTGGAGTAGCCCAGAGATGAGACCTCTTGCAGCCAATGGACAGTCCTCCAGAGCGGTTGCAACGGCATTGCCATACATGCCTCCCATGGCAATTCCAAACAGTGCACGGCATGCAAGGAACTGATCATAGGTCTGGCAGAAGCCAGTCGCGAGCTCCAGTATGATGAACAGAATGTTGTTGACAACGAACGGCCACTTCCGTCCGTATCTATCGGATGCAAGACCGAAACTGATTGCTCCAATGGATCGAAGCATAAGCACCAGCGTGAGACCCCATGTTATGTCTTTGATTGTGACATCGAACTCGGCCGCAAGCTGGGTGGTGGTAAGGCTCACGGTGAAGAAGTCCTGCCAGATGATTAGACCCCAGTGCAGGAAGACCCTAACGACTCACGAAAGCATCCCATGTCCACGCCGCCATGGCCACCCCGAAGAAGGTCCAGTGCTTCTTGTTCAAGAGTCCCAGCAACTTGAAAGGGTTCGGAGGTTTCGCCACTGTTGGCTTCAGGGTAGGGACGCGTGATAGGAGATAGCCCTTGACGTCCATTTTTGCACGTCTGTCGGGCACTGCGTGCTCGAGGTAGGCACTGTGTGCCTTCTCTTCATCGAGTTGAGACATTGTGCTTCAGTCTGATGATACAATGGATGGCTTGTTGAAGGAGACTGATGAGTCTTGTAGCGACGATGCAGATCCATGCTTGTAAAGGCCTGGCCTGGACCATTATATCCGGAAATCTGGGACGGTTTTGGAGGAGGAGCTGGAGGGGTGTGGGGACCCCATAATACTTTTGGAGGGAATTTTGGAGGAGCGGATACCCTGGACAATGGGGAACCTCCTCCAGGGTTCGGGGAAAGCGCACGCAACAGTCCTGAACGGCTGGTTAGTGTTTACCTCGACAACACTTCCGACGCGCATTCAAAAACAGCCGGGAACACGTCAACGGCGCTGCAGGGGCTTTCAATAATTGACACAATCTGCGATGTCTTCCGAAAGTTGTACAGGCCTAATGGCCTTCTGGGCCGACATCGACGACGAGTATGTGCAACGATATCAGCAATGGCACAATTGCGAACACGTACCTGAGCGCGTCTCTATTCCTGGTTTCATTGAAGGCCGCCGATACCGAGCACTTGACAATAGCCATCACTTCTTGATGTATTACGACACAACCGACACCAAAGTCTTGTCGTCCGATGCCTACATGGCGGCCTTGAATAAGCCGACGAAGTGGACTGGCGAGGCTTTGACGCATTTCCGCAAGCCAACAAGAGACATCTTCTCCAGGATAGCGATGTCCTCGAAACACTTTCCATTCGCTGCGCCTTACCTCACTTCCATGCGATTCGACCTGCCAGACGGAGGGGAGGAGAAGTATGCAAATCAGTGGCTCTCGAGTGTCGGATCACTGGAACACGTCATTAGAGTCCGGATGTACAAGGCAGATGCAGCGATCGCGAAGATGGGCACATCTGAGAGCAAAGTGCATGGCGGTGGGCCAGGGAAGCAGACATACCTCGTCTTTATCGAGCAGTCTCTTCCACCAGATGAGACAGAGGATGCTGTCAGTTTCGGAGATGCGAAGATTGGTAATGTGCTGAGGCAGAGCGAGGAAGTCGGAAAATATTGGTTGGAGATGGCGCATGTCAAGCGTGAGCGCAATTGATAGAAATGTATGTGTGTTGAGTCTCAAAGCTGTCTCATTCGTAGTGGATGCGGTTAATTAAAGTGCCTATGCCCTCGATCTCGACCCGGAAGTCGTCGTCGTGCTTAAGAGCAATCTTCGGCTCCTGAAACCATCCTACACCCGGCCCTGTCCCGGTCATAATCACCGTGCCGCGCTCGAGAGTGGTGCCTTGGGACAGAAATGCGATCGTTTGAGGTATTCGATGAATCATATCCCTTCGCACAGTCAGCTTCGCCCCCTTAATCGTACCGGCAAGTGCTTACTCCGTGTTCGCATCTTGCACAACTGTACCATTATGTATAGCACGGATTCGCAGCTGATGAGGATCCGCAACTTCGGGGGGCGCAACTAGCACTGGCCCAATTGGACAAGAGCCGTCAAGTCCTGCCGTTCGTCTTAGCTGAGTCCAAGCGCGGCTCGGGCTCCTTACCTTTCGAGAATGACCACTGGCTGTTCTTGAACTGTTGCGACCGTGCACTGACGTCGTTGCTGCAGGTATAGCCAAGCACGTAGCTCATGGCGTCCTCCTCCAAAATATCACGACCTGTCTTGGACAAGACTATGCTTAGTTCGGCCTCGTAGTCGCTTGTCCCGTCCTGTACGAACTTCGGTATGTTGATAGCCGCAGGGTGCGGCCCGTTCAATGCTGTGCGTGGCCGCACGAACAACACAGGCTCTTTTGGGATCGGTGCTTTGGCTTCCTTCGCAGCTTCGTAGTAGTTTAGTCCCAGGCAGCGTATGATCGGGACGTCGCTGACTTCAAGAGGAGGCAGCAGCTGCGAGACGTGCATAGTAGTCGACGTCACTGTGCCATCGAAGACAGTGCCTGTAATCAGCTTGACTGCCACGCGCTCCTTGTTGAAGGTTGCCAAACCGACGTCCGGGCATTGAGTAGCGTCGACCTCGCCCAAATGCACCTGACCATCCTCCTCGGCGATAAACCGGATCAGGCGAGTCCAGGACGGCGACATTGTGGCTGTTGATTCTGCGAATGTTTTGCTGGCTGTGCAATGCTTTCGCGTCGCGTGAACGATACACGGTTGGGGTAATTCGCCAAGCAACCACAGCAGGGTCGTCGGAGAAGCACCTTGCCCGCACAGGTCCTCCAAAAATCTCGCGTTCCTGCGTCGCGTGTGACGTGCGGGGCCCTCGTGGGCGTTGTGCTTGGTGGTGGATCCTGTTCTGGAGAAGGGAAGACAAAAGGCGAGTGTTGTGTCTAGTCGTTGTTTTGTACGTTCTGCCGCCTCCCTCGACTGTTGGAATATACCCGATCCTTTGCGCAGAAGAACGTCAGTCCTACACCCAACCGTCATGGGCGAGATCAAGTACTTGGAGGCACACAATCTGCCCGACAAGATCGAATCTGAAGAGGCAGTAGAAGAGCTGCTGTCAAGACCACCGGTATGGCTTCCGGCTCTACTCGAAGGACTTGACGGCGATATCATGTTCCTTGGTATTGGCGGCAAAGTTGGCCCAACCATAGCAAGAATGGCGAAACGAGCGGTACCCAACAAGCGCATCGTCGGAGTCGCGAGATTCTCGGAAGCAGGCCTCAAGGAGCGTCTTGAGAGCTGGGGCCTGGAGACACACAAGTGTGATCTGCTGAACCGGGAAGAGGTGACGAACCTGCCTGAGGCTGCCAACATCGTCTACATGGCCGGCAAGAAGTTTGGTGTCGACGAGGATCCCAGCTTCGCATGGGCCATGAACACATATGTGCCGAGCCTTGTCGCTGAAAGATTCAAGTCGTCCAAGATCGTCGTCTTTTCGACGCTATGCGTATACTCTTTTGCACCGATTTCTGGCGGTGGGTGGGAAGAGAGTGTCCAGCCTGCGCCAGCTGGCGATTACGCCATGAGTTGTGTTGGGCGCGAGAGGATGTTCGGGTACTTCTCAAGGCGGCACAACACACCTGGACGTATCATTCGTCTCAACTATGCGATCGACATGCGTTATGGTGTCCTGCATGACATTGCTGGCTGGGTGAAGCAAGGCAAGCCGATCCCGATTGCCACAGCGTACGCGTCCTGCATCTGGCAAGGCGACAGCAACGCGCAGATCCTTGGAGCTCTCGCACACACAACGACGCCCACAACGCCGTTGAACGTTGGTGGAGCAGAGCATATGTCTGTGCGTATGGCGGCACACGAGTTTGGGCGGCGCTTCGGCAAAGCTCCCATCTTCGAGGGCGAGGAGTCGGAGTACGGGTGGTACAACACTACGCTGGCAGCGCAGCGCTTGTTCGGCTACCCGACAGTGTCGCTCGCGCGCATGATTGACTGGACGGCGGACTGGGTTGGCAATGATAAATTGTCGATCAATAAGCCTACGCATTACGAAGAGCGGGAAGGCGCGTTCTGACGCGTTTAATGAGGGAGTCGCGTCCAAAGACGTCATAGCAATTTTCTCCAATCTAGCTTTCTGCCACAAGATTTCTGTCGGCGACAACGATCCACTTGTGAGTGCGTGAGGGTCAAATATAGATCTGTTCATTACTTGCTTCTTTGTGCTGCATTCGGTAATATGCTCTGTGATCAGATGCCTGACGGGTGTAAGAGCAAAGCAGTGGCAGGCGACGCACAACGCTCCATCCGTGATGAACGGCGTCGCCGTGCCGATAGCCGGGAGTCGTCCTAGCCAAGCCCCAGACCCTGCCCGCATTTTCTGCCAACTCCACAGATTCCGTGCCGAGACCTTCACATTCTGTTGAGCTTGCAACACCCTTACGACGTCCTATCCGTGTTGATGAGATGTGCGCTCCGTCGCGCGGCCTATAGACGATAGCTAAAGCATGGTCGAGCAGACCGAACAGAAGGACTTACCCAAGTATCCGTGTCGCTTTTGTGAGAAGCGCTTCAAGCGCGTGGACCACGTACAACGTCATGAACGAAGACACACCAAGGAGACGCCTTACCCGTGCTCGTGCGGCCAGGCTTTTAGTCGACAGTATGTGGAGGACCTCTTAACGCAGACCTCGACTAATGATCTTCAGTGATCTCTTAACCAGACATCAGAAGATTGTGCATGGTATTGAGCCTGCAAAGCGACGCAAACTGCACCACAACGGGCAGAACGAGAAGCCTGCTGGAGAAAGTGCATCTCATCCGCATGAGCGCGTGTCTGGAAGCCGTGGTAACGACGATGAAAGGCATTCGGGGCAGCTGTTCTCGGGAATTGGGCCTCCGCCTTTTAATAATCTGTCCGACTCTCGAGCAGGCACGACTGATCACGCCAGAGACGTCTTGAATGCGCTGGGCATCGACGCTTGGAACCTCGACGGCTACCGATATCCATCAGCCGAGAAGCACGCATCCGAGCGAAGTAATGAGCTTGCACACGCTGCCACGCCTCCGGCAACGCTTCGGCATGGCAATCCTGCAACAAACGTTGCTTCGACCACAGATGCTGGCGCTACGCTCATCCCAGTAGTCAACGGACACAACGAAGGCCCCGCAGATGCGTTGCCTACGTTCGACTACACGAGCATCGATACCCCCGGTCTCGACTTCGCGGGTCTGCAAACTTCGAACGCTATACCTAGCTTCGATCATGTATCGCCTGCGGCAGCGCAAAGTGTCAGTGCGACTTCCATGTCGATGCCCTCGGAAAGGCATGACGGTGCAGAGTTGAATGTGTTCTCGAGGCTTGGATCCCCGCTGCCGTCGTCTCGCCACAACGACACCAGCCTGTCTGTCCGATCTGACCAGCATGATCGATCAAGCTCACTGCCTTGCTGGAAGATCTCGCCGGAGGACTATGTCGCCATCCAGTCCGAGGTTAGTCAAAAATCGTTTGTACTGCCTGTGGGATTTCAGCTGCCAAGCAGGCATACAATGTCGCACTGCCTGGAAAGATGTATTAACAGCTTTTATAAGCATCAGCCATTTCTACACAAGGCGACCTTCCGCCCTAGTGAAGCTGCACTGGAGTTGATCTTCGCTATGTGTAGTGTTGGCTCACAGCTTCGTTTTGAGCCTGTTGCAGGCGCATCGTTCTTTCACGCGTCTAAAGCATTGATATTGGATCACCAGCACGCCGTGAACAACGGACCAGAGCAGCCAGCTTTGCAGGAAAATCGAGGCCTTACCGAGGACATTCGTCGATGGCAGACAATGCAGGCTTTGCTTACATTGATGTGTTTTGGATCGTGGGGACCAAAGCACCTCTTGGGCGAGACCATGATGCTGCAAAGCCTCTTAGCCGGTCTCGTCAGGACCGAGGCCGTATTCGATCTTCAACCCACTGATGACGAGTCCATGCCGCTTCAGGACCGATGGACTGCGTGGATTGAGCACGAACGTCGGAGAAGAGTCCGAAACATTGCCTACTGCTTCACGTCTTTGCAGAGTCTCGCCTATAACACCGTACCTCCGATATCCTCGGCCGACGTCCAGGGCTACACGCCTAGCTCAGCCCGTGAATGGGCTGCTCCGACTGCCGAACGATGGCTTGAAGCGCGAAACGCCACGAAGATTGTTCATCTGCCATTCCAGAAAGCTTTTGCAGGGCTCTTCTCGGACGAACCAGATGGCGAAGCATCTATGTCGCCTCTTGGGCTCTATGCTATGATCTTTGGGATCCTGCAGTGCATCTACTATCTGCGACAAGGCTACCCGTTTGGGACGGATCACCTCGATCCGAGTCAGACCACGCGCCTGGTAAAGGCTTTGCACAGGTGGCAAGTCCTCTGGGAACGTTGCCCGGAGTCCACGATCGTAGCGGATGGCTCAATGGGCCCGATCTCTTTCAACTCGATTGCGTGCTTGCGTATGGCCTGGATTCGACTCCACCTGGACCTAGGGCCTTGCAGGCATCTTGCAACACGGGATGAGGCTACAATCGCCCGTGTCTTCACTGCTGATCGATCTCTTGTCCGTTCTGCCGAACTCACCTCTCCCCTTCTCCAGGCTATTCATGCGTTAAGCGTGCCTGTACGTCTAGGAATTAAATTCGTTGCCAGGAGTCAAACCATGCTATGGAGCGTCAATCAGTCCTTGTGCACACTCGAGTGCGCCGTGATCATCAGCAAATGGCTCACGGCTCTCGGCGACACAATCGATGCCTCGTCTTTGACGTACCAGGAAAAGAATATCTTGCAGATTCTGCGCGACATCGTGCTTGAAAGTGGTGCTTTTAGTGACAGCGAAGTCTCGGCCCTGTCTCCCTTCGACGACACCGGGATCGCATTCAACGATACAAGCAGAAATATGTACAGAAGTCCTTCGGCAGACCCATTTGCAGATTTGAGCTTCTTCGTCGACCCAGCAGTGTGGGCTTTGCCTGAGGAGCCGCCGGTGCCCAGCACGTCATTCGCTCTGGAGGATACAGCGAAATGGAAGCGTCAGATCTCATGTCTACTCGATACAGTGGCGCGGTTGTGGGCTGAGATTTTCTCGAATAGTCACGTCTTCGATTTGGTCACAACGATCGGGAAAGCTTTGAATGTACATGCAAATACGCAAGAGCGGTCGAGCTGATTTGGCTGGGAAGAAGCGACGATTCGGCGTATGTGTGCCTAACTATTGTTATCGGAAGTTCCCGGTTCCGTTGATGGAACTGTCTTCTCCCTAAGTGCCGGATCTATTCCAACGCAATGTCGACGCGCACGATAGCCGGAGACCCCGTTCGCGAAAAGACCAGTCGCGAGGCGGCCCCAGGAGAACGATCCAGCCGACGTACGACTAGGCGAAGTACAGTCCTGGATGGCAAAAGATCATTGTTGCGGTTGACAAAGCGATCATCGCACCGTCACACACCATGAAGTAAGTCTCACTCAGCATGATCGGATTGCGCCAGCCACCTGCCATTTCGGCGATTCGATAACTACACCTCGTCAGAATGCAGAGGTACGCAAATATCAGACTGAAGATATAGACCTGGACGTTGCGAGTCGTTTCGGGCGCATCAGCATCTTCCTCATGTTTCGAATGCCCTTTCAGCCGTTGCTGGCGTCGATAACAGTATAGTCCCGCCATGCCAGCAAAGACCAGGAGAGTAAAGACCTGAAAGACGATGCCGGCAAGAGCGACGTTGTTTCCGCTGCGTTGCGTCGCATAGGAGTCTGCTGTGGCTGAGATGCCCCCTCCAGCTCCCTGGAGTATGAGCGATACGACGTCGCAGCTGATGAAAATCCAGGTGTAGAGCCGTGGGTTGATGGGCGAGTCGGATGGTCCGAAGAACAACGTCAAGTGCTTGAGCATCAAGTAGATGCCCGCTGCAAAGAAGGCAGGGGCAATGACCAGACAAACAATTTGCATGTCGAATCCCGCCTTGCTGTACGGATTCTTGTGAAGGATGACCCGGCCGGCGTAGCCGATGACCTCGGAGATGCAACCCAAGGATACTGCCGTCATATACGCCCAGCGTTTGAATTTGATACCGAGAAGGGTGTTGACAACCAGCATGGCTGCAAACCAAGCCAGGAAGAATGCGTTGCCACCCAAACTTGGGTAGTAGCCATAGATTGAGCTTTCAACGGGACAATCGGGAGAGACATGGCGGCAGACTTTGAAGAGGTTGGGCGATGACATGGCTGTGTTTTATAGTATACAGAAGATATCGAGGCTGGGGTATTCTGATGTACAGAGCTCTTGGATGCAAAGATGCTAAAAGGCATATATATTTAAGGTCTGTGCAGACTTGAATCCTTGAACAGCTTTATTTGGAGACGACATGGTTCGGAGGACGAGCATCATGATGATTCTTACAGATCGAGCGACTCTACAATCGTGATTGCAGTCGTCTTCGCGACAGTTGTACAATGTTGTAGCGCGTTGTGGCATGATTGAGGACCAGTAGGAAGCGAGCCGACAAGCAACGGCGCTAGTCCTGAAAAGGTCTGCCTTGCGTGTGATCGTTGGTTGGTCGCTTGGTTTCCACTTGCACGGCGATGTTGATGTCATGCAGGGCAAAACTAAATTGAGGACGACCTTTGGATGACTTGGTGGAAGAGGTGCTTCGCATCGAGCCCATGCGAGTCCGCATGGCACTGCAATGGTCTACAATGGTCCAAGCAAAGGATGCGGGACTTGTCGTGTGCGACATCTAGCGGTACGTTGACTCTGGCTCTCGGCAGCGTACATGCGCAGTGCTGACCTAGCAAGCAGTGTGATCGTCTGGCGCCATTCTGTAATAATTGCACCAGGACTGGCCGACATTGCTCAGGGTACGCACAGCTCGACCAGAGTTTGTGGAAGTGTCAGAACGTCCAAGCAGCCAAAAACTCCAATCGCGAGCGAAGGGCGCGTGTACGGCGGCAAGAAAGGTCCAATGCACAGTTCCCGGGACATGAATCAACGCCAGACTCTGGTGCGCCAACAAGAGCTCACTCGGTCTGTAGTAGCGATATGGAAGCGCCAGTGCAGATCAGCAAGCTTCCGGATCCAGAGGCAGTTTGTCTGGCATTCTTTTGGACGAGACTCAGGGATACTCTGAGCCCGGAAGAGGAAGCGAATGGTTACCTTGTGCTACTTCGGCCGCAGCAGCATGATTCCTACCGCAATGAATCGAAGCTGTATCTCAATCAGGCCATCGGCGCTCTTGCAATCAACATCACATACGCAGCATTCGGCTTGCGGCTTGATAGAGGACCGCCTTGCATTGCAACCATCGAGGCAGTATCTGCAGCTCGTTCAGCTCTCAGTGATGCAGAAGAGAGGCTGTCAGACGAGACATTGCTGCTTGTGCTGCTCCTGGGAGCATGCGACGTATTGAGACAAGCGGCAAGAGGACGACGCCCTACTGGTGAACACAGTCGAGGCGCGCAGGCGCTCATCAAGATGCGTGGCCACCGCAATTCCTCGTCAGATACTGCAAAAATGTTGCACTGTGCTATAGAGGCATACGTTGTTCGATCAGCGTCTCGGAATAGTGCCGCTGGAAAGCCAGTGACAAGCGCTCATCCTGTGCATCCCTCGGAGTCGCAGGCACATGTCATTGGGATGAGAAGCCGATCGACGCGACCTGGAGTTCTGGAGCGCCTGCTCTACTCAACATCGCCGTGGTTATTCGATCTTCATCACGCCAGTATAGACTTTACGTGAAACTACAAGTGGACTTTGAGATGGTCGCACCTCTGTACAACCCCTGCCCTAGGCCTTTGCCTAGTAAGCTACTTTGATCTGCTGTTGCATACCAAATGCTATGTCTGAGTCGACAGCTGCACCCATACGGAGCCCATTACCGACCCTCAGACCATACTCGAGACAGTCTTGGCCCTTCTGCAACTCTCTACGAGCCTTGGAACGCTTGAAAGGGAATGTGCCCGAGCTTATACCGGAATTCAAGCCGTATGTTGCTGAGATCTCAGCGAATGCGTGCATCTCTGGCACCAGCGCCGGGCTGACAATAACGTCAAACTCATCAGGGTCTGTTGCTATTGGTGTCCAGGCATCTGGGTGCTCCGGCAGTGGGAAAGGGTTCAGCTCGTCGCCTGGCCAGTTCGTCTCGCGATTTATGAACGCGGCTAAACAGAAGATTAGTTAGTTGCTTGTGTTCGTGCAATCTCCAGGCACATTTCCACGCAAGAACTGCTATATAGGGACTTTGCACGTTGGGATAGTCTTACAGAGAGCAAAAAGAAGGTAGTTGTTCACGTTGAGCAAGGCTGCATAGCGTCCCCAAGAGAGTCGCATTACAAGGTTTCCAGTGTCAAGGAATCCGTATGCTCGGCGATCGAGCCAGTCCTCTACGAGTGTGGTTTCTGCGTCCACTGCCTATGGAACCGATCAGTAAGCTCGAGCGCAAAACAGCACGCATACGGCTGTACCGCGCCAAAGAGATGCTCTGTAACTTACTGGGTTGCGGAAGTCCGCGGGGTATAAGTCGCGAATCCAAATTCCAGCTCGGCGCCCTCGCCGTGCGACCGCTGCATGATAGGCGTTCCGGAATGCTTCTGGAAATCCGTCGAAGGGAATGATGGTTTGATCACGCATAGTCACGTAGTGCAAAGCCTGATATGCTCTTAGCACTCAATAAGAAGTGTCTTTAGGGTGGGGCCACACACTTCGTGCAGAACGACAGCCGCGCGGCTGTTCCTTATCCTCTCCCACTGTTCTTCGTTTATAGCGGCCCCAAGTGGTGTAGTTTCGAAGGTCCCCACCGCGTCCTCGAAGAATAATGGCGTGAAAAGGATCCCTTCACTCCCAGTTCAAGCAACGACGTTGGGAATATCGCCATGCTGAGTTCGTTTTAGCGCTCAACTGTCAAGCTATCACGAGATATTCTTACCTTGTGTAGTCGAAGATCGTCAGGGGGATGCTCAGAGAACTCGCGCAAGTTTCTGAAAACCACTGCAGAGCCGTGAGAACGAGCGATAATTCTTGGGTGGTTTGTGACTTACGCCGTACAGTTTCACGATCTGGGTTTTCAAGTCCGAATCCGAAATGCCAGCTAACGTGGTTAAGGGGTTGATTCAGAGCGAATTCAACTAATGCTCTCGCTTCTGCCCAGACATCCGTAAGAACGGTCTGCCATGCTGTGTCGCCGCCCCCCGTGTCGTCCACAAAGTTCTGAGACTGAGGCTGTGCAAACAAAGGGTTGGCGAACGAGAGACACAGTAGAATGGACAGCAGTAGGCGCATCGTGAATAATGAATGAGTTGTTGTATGGGGTTTTGATTCCAGCCCTATAGCAAGAGAACAAACCGTCGATCCCGACTTTAGGTACTAAAAGAACGTGGCGCCATTTGCGCGTTTAGCTGCCATTTTGCACTTCTTGACAGATCGGCGGAGCTGGGCAAGCGCTGGTAATCATGACTTAGTGCTCTACTATAAACCGTCCTTCTGCTGCTGCGAGTGATCAGGCCACCGCGCCGGGAACGTATCACCGTGCGAGTTTCCTTCGCCGTATCTGGACTGATGGAGCTTCTCGTGTTTCAGAAGTGTTAGACACATGACTAATCGTAGTAGCGAATGAAATCGCGAAGATGTTTATAGAAAGCCAAGTCCAGCTATAGTAATCCAAAACTCACAGTCTATATGAAATGCTGTCCTCAACGCTATTCTGAGAATTCGTAATCAGTTATGTTTTACTGCGCCAGAGTTACATTTCATAGCCCTGATGTTACCTGGGAGGTATAAGATACTTCGGCCTAAGGTCGTTGGTGTAGAGTAACAAGACCGGCTGCAAACAGTTCTCATATAGACCAATGAGACCGATAAAGCTCGTGGCGTTCCTCAGCGCTGCTGCTATAGCACAACAGACAGCCCAAGAAGTGCATCTCTTGCGACGACAGAATACAGCCTGCCAACTCACTCCTCAATCCGACTTCATCAGCGACGAGCAATACGGTGATGCTGGACTGGCCTTCGATGACAAGCTGCTGCCACTGATGAAACAACTCATGTGCGAAGAGCTTTGCCCTGTTCAGGGTGATGATTGTCACTTGGCCGTTGAGCCTGTGCCGGGTGTCAGACTGAGGTTTAGCAGACGGCACGATGGGGGTCTCAACTCATGCGAAGACGATGCTTGGGTAAGGCCGCAACACGAAACAGGAGCACGAGATACTGACCTATATCTCCAAGAACGACATTCTTGATTGTATGCGTGGGAATCCCCCTTTGAGCGGAGGGCGCACTGTGGTCGATCAGACGACGTACGACATGTATTTCGAGAAAATCGAGCCCCCACCGTCGTGGACAGATGAAGAGGAGGAGGGCGACGGCAGCAATCCTCCGGAGAACGCTCCTACTGGGACTTTCCTCCCGATGTAACGCAGGATCCAACGTTCTATATCTCTAGGACAGATCGAGACGGCGAAGTCCCAAGATCTGGAGCACTAGCTGTTTATGGTCGTAATGCCAACTTCGACATTATGGCGCCAAAGCCTCATGACTACAACACATCGCTGTCGTTCTATGTTGGGCCTGACTTGTTACCGAATCCAAACTTCTGGCATGAGTCGTTCTCGAAGTTCGATCAGTTCAACCTCAAAGGCAGCCCCTCTGGGACTATCTGCAGTTTGCCCGAGGAGTTTATCTTTGTCAAAACTCGAGACAATCGATTTGGTACGTCGATCTACTCTATTCAAATCGGTGAATCCGCACTTACAACTTATAGCATTTAGCGACCGTGGAGAAGAAGGTAGCTTTGTCGGCTTCTGTGACCTTCTGCCAGAGACAGATCCGACTCATCAAGGACTCATTGGGTATTCGGATGACGGCCTCAATAACGCGCAGTACATGTGGTGGTACCCGTTGTTTGCGTGCTTCGCGGTCGATATTGATAATTACTGCCGAGACTATGGTAGCAGTTAGTGTGCTTACGTAGTCTCCTGAGCACAAGCCACAGTGTTTGAGCGCGCGGTGTTATCAAGCACTCCGCACTCCTCGGCCTGTGAACTAAGTTTCAAGCCCGACATCGAGGCGTATAGTCCGCATGGCGTGGACGCGACGCTTTGTCACGAGCGAAGTAGTCTTTAACGACGTAGACGAGACAGGCTGTGCGTACCGCACAGCCGGCTCCGAGATCTTATGTTCCTGTACACCTACACATCATTGGGGACGGCATTGATCATCAATGTGCCAAGCCGCCCATACAACTGAACAAGGCTGCACAAGGCTTAAAGGAGTTTCATGGCCATTGTAACCCTAGCCCTGCTGGTCATTGCGGCGACATGATTAGTGGTCAAGGTGTCACGCACCACATCACCTCCTCACAAAATCCAGGCACACCACTTAAGTCCTATCTAGAGGATGCACAGACAGGAACCATTTTTTACACTTGCTCATGATGATTATGCTTAACCAGATATGTCAATGCATCTAACTCACATTCTAAACCATAACGTAGAGGGGTAGTAGTGCTACCCAACATACCCCAATGAAATTCACTCAATTTCAATGGCCGCGCCCATACAACCGCGTGCCAAGCATAGGAAAATCGTGACACGATTTCATTGGTGGCGGACACACAATTTCAATGAGACGCGTGCCTTGAGCAGGAGGTAAGAACATATACAATGTTAGATGCACATGATCGTGGTGACCTGGTGAGTTAATTACCACTATCTGTAATGTGCGACGGCTCATATTGAGTGCGCAATTACGTGTTCATGTTTTAGAGGTGGTGCAGGCTATCTAGGCCACATTGTTATGACAGACCCACTGGTAATATCTAAAAACAGCATGGTTCATGTAGTACAGTCCCTCATAATACCCCTAATAGAAGTTGTAGACTACTGATGTATATCCACCACCCAAGCTCCTATGCCAAGATAATTAGGCTGTGAGGCAACCAGGCTGAAGAGTCAAATTCTTCAACACATCTCTTCCTCTTCCTTTAGCTCTCTCTCTTACCCTTCCTTCCTCCCTTACCCTCTCTCTCTAGCTTCTCTATCTAATGGCCTGACCCCTATTATAGTAGCAGGACATAGAGATCCAAGAGTAGCTTGACCCTCTATAAGACTAATCCTCTTTTATTCTCTATACACACAGGCTGACTATTAACATAGTGATCATATAGTCTTGATATATTTAATGTGTTTACTTTTAATTCTAAATTAGCATCTAGATATATATATATCTCTAGCCTTATAGTCTAATAGTATAATATGTCTATCTAATAATTTATATAGAGGTCTGGGCTACTCAAGTATATCCTTCTCAAAGTGACTTATAATAAAGAGGATATACTCAAGTGGCCTAATTAGAACGTGAATTATAGGTAAGGTTTAAGGTTCAAGTCCTTGCAAGATCAATCCTTTTTACTTTTTAGGTAGATTAAAGCCTAATTCAAGTTATATAAGTGCTTAAAGAATTTCTATTTATCCTTTATATATTTAATCTCAGGAGAACTATTTTAAAATCAGTACACAGATATAGTCATCTTATAGACCTTGTAGTCTAATAGTTATGATATATTTATTTAATAATCTATAAAGAGATCTAGACCACTCAGAAAGCCTTCTTGAGTAAGCTAGTATCATGACTAAAACTAACCAAGTGGTCTAATCAGGATATAGATTATAAGCAAGGTTCGAGATTCAAGTCCTTGTAAGGCTAGCTTCTTTCTACTTTTTTACTTTTTATGTACTTGAAGATTAGACTTGACCTATATCTATACTTATTATATTCAACACTCTTAGTTCTTATTTAAAATCAGCACATAAATACTTACATCTTACAGGCCTTATAGTCTAATAGTATAATATATCTATCTAACAATCTATAAAGAGATCTAGACTATTGTTCTAATAAAACTTGTAGCTGATATTAATTCTATCTAAATAATAGTATAGTCAGAATATAGATCATAGACAAGGTCCAAGATTTAAGTTCTTATAAGACCAGCTCCTTTCTACTTTTTTGCTTTTTATATACTTAGAGGTCAGACTTAGTCTATATCTATACTTATTATATTTAACACTCTTAATTCTTATTCAAAATTAGCACACAAATACTCACATCTCATAGACCTTGTGGTCTAATAGTATAATATATCTATCCAATAATTCATAAAGAGGTCTGGGCCACTCTATCAGACTTAGGAAGGGGCTAACACCATGACTAAACTGACTATGTGGCCTAATCAGGATATAGATCACAAGCAAGGTTCAAGGTTCAAGTCCTCGCAAGACCAATACTTTTTATTTTTTTGCTTTATTACTTTTTACATACTTAGAGACTTAGATTGACTTGTATTTATACTTGTTATATTCTATCCCTTAAGTTATAGTTCAAAATTAGCACACAGATACTCATATATTTTATAGGCCTTATGATCTAATAGTATAATATACTTATCCAATGATTTATAAAGAGGTCTAGACCGCTATATCAAGTATTAGAAGAGGCTAGCACTATTCATAATACTTGACACAGTGGTTCAATCAGGACATAGATCATAGGCAAGGTTTAAGGTTTAAATCCTTGTGAGGCCAGTCTCCTTTTTACTTTTTATGTATATAGATACCTCAAGATTGGGATCTCTTGCGTGTACTATTGTATTCTTTTTATATTTCTTTCTTCACTATTCTATAGCCTAAGTGAAGTACTTATATTTACTATCTAAAGGTTTTGCTCGCCTTTAGGCATATAATTATGATCTAAAATCTATTGATTAAATAGCTTGGTAGATCATCCTACTAATTAAATAAATAAATAAATCATAGTTAAAATAGCTTCAGTCTTAAATCCTGTGAGTAGTCTACCTTTTCTAATTAAAGATTAAACTAATAATTATATAGCCTTCTCACTTCTGTAATAATAAAAATAAAAACATCTATAAGAACTCTAAATACAGCAATCTTCATCTAGCCACTCTTAATAACATAATTCACAGTCTTTTAACCACTATTAATCAATATATAACAAAAGGGTAGATTAGAATATAAATATTTAGAAGTGAGTTTATAGTCTATTAGACAATTATCCAGAACAATCACAACTATATTATATTATGTATATAAGATATAGAAATATATGTCTAGTTAAGATAATATAGTGAGAGAGTCAGTAACCATAAGGTGAATATATAAGAGACTATATAATATTAAGACACACACAATAGTCACATAATCAATTCAAGGATACTCTATTTATTATGTTATATACCACACATTTATCACGTTATGTACTACACTTTCTATATAAGACTCAAGTTAAGCTATTGTTTTTCACACTATAGATTTAATTATATATATTCCCAGGTGGGCAGTTATTATATACACATTATACTATATTGATATTATTATAGACAGTTAATTCAATACGCATTTTTAATGTTAATACATATTAGATGGTAGTATATATTAGATAATACACATATAAATACAATAGAAATATCCTTATACCATTCGCTAAACAAAAGATATTAAGGAGTATTTCCAATAATTAGGAGTTGAATTAGCTATTAATGAGTTAGGAGAATCTAAGCAGGGATTATGATATGTAGAGGTCAGTACTAATAGAGAGCCATACAGGTATATGTGTTGTGAAGTAAGGGGAATGAAATAACATTACTAGGGGGTATATAGATAGGTGAATTCTCATGATTATAGTGGATTATAACTACAGTAGACCAGTGTGCAGCAGCTATAGTGGACTATTCTATATTAATAAATATTCACATATAGCTCATTTTGAGGATATTATGAGATATAGCTATATAAACCCCACTCTAGTGACTCTCTAGGTAGTGAATAGACTAAGACACTAGCAGAGTATATATAGTGATAGATTAAGGAAAAGAGTGCTAAGTTAGAATAGCAGCAAGCTATTATAGCCATAAGGACCAAGTTGGACACTAATTAATAGTTAGAATACATAGAGTAGGCAATATATTTAGCTAGATTTTAGTGGGACCAGTTAATTAAGTAGTCAGCATTGCCTAAGATAGATAGAGATCCAGTTCTGTAAGCAATATATTAAAGTTTTAACCACATAATCCAGATTATATAAGAGATCATTATTAATCAGTATTATCTATTTTTTAGTTAATTTCACATTAATAAAAAGCTAAGAGATGAAGTCAGTTAAACACCATTCTAGATAAGAATAGAGAATAACATGTAAGAGCAGTATTATTAAGTTTTTCATTAGATTATGGTATATATATACTAGATATAGAATATATCATAGAATAAGTAATCTAGATATTAATTAACTAATCACTAGTAGTTATAGTAGGAGATATTTATTAATACCACCCAGACTGCTATGCACACTAAGTCCAAGAAGGATTTATTCACTATATCTCTAGAGAATAGTTCTGA